TGGATTCATCATAACTAAAGATTAAATAACACCATTTCTGTTATTATGTTGCAGTTTTATTGTGAGTTTAGACGTTTTATGAAATGTCCGAAAATTTATAATTATTTGCATTTTTTGCTTTAAAATGATAAGTGAGTCTGCTCCGGGTCTCTGCTATGATATGAGCCTTTGTGTTATTATAAGTGGTAAAATGAGCCCATGGACATCTCGACATGTTAGATCAGACAGGGATATTCAATTTGCGTGCGTGTCATCTGGATTAAACACATTTATAAACTACTAGCTGACCCGGCAGACTTCGTAGTGCCTCAATCGATAAATAAAAGACCTAAACTTTATTTAATTCCGAGAATTTTCATATTTATCTACCTTTTAAACCTTCCCTGGACTTCCACAAATAATTCAAGACCAAAATTAGCCAAATCGGTCCAGCCGTTCTCGAGTTTTAGCGAGACTAACGAACAGCAATTCATTTTTATATATATAGATTATAGATGATATGTGAATGTGATATGACTATGTGATTGTACTTCCAACATCGCAATATTATGTAATAAATAAACATGATTTCTTCAAGTGGTAAAAAATACCAAAACAACTATAATTAAGTTTATCGGCAACATGATTAAATGTCCGGTTTTTACATTTATGAAGACAATAATAACATATTAAACAAATGGTGCATCTCAAACAATGTAAACGGTAAGGTCCGATGCTGATGTCACGTACTTCGTTTCGTGAAAATTACGTGTGCAATTGGTGTCCGGGTTGACTGCTGCCGGTGGAGTTAGGTCTCGTGTCTCCCAGTTTATGTTCTAGAGCGGCTCTTTGCCTAAGAACCTAGGAGGTATCTTGGCGGGACGATGCGGGTTTTTATACGGAAATAGTAATAAAAAAGTTAATTAAACACCGTATCCTTCATTAACAATACCAGGGTATACGTTAAAACCGACCCCAATGTCCATTGAAAAATGGCATATCATATCACTAGATAAGTTCCCGTTCACCTGATGCTAAGGGCCTACAGGAATTCATAATTATGAAAGTTTAAATGACGAAAAAATTTAAGAGGAAGTAATAATTCTATTGTATTGAGGGTCTTTCAACAAGAACGCACAGCTACTTCGAGGTGTAATAAGGCAGAATAGGGGTAGTGTCCCCTTTTTTTCTTAGCCTTGAGAGGCTATTTCAGCTTCTTCTTGACGTGTAAGTGAGCTCACGGGACTCAAACTGGTAGTGTTGCTAATACTGGCCCTAGCAAGTGCAGTGCTTCGCAACATCTACCACCGGATTGGAAATGCTACCATTGAGAAGTTGCGGCGATAAATTCAGTGGGCTGTGTCTATGGGTTAATTTACTCACCGAGCCCTTCATCGCAAGCGAAGGGTTCGACGAGAACGATGACCGGACGTTGTTCTAGTGCATAAATAACACTATTGCCACATTCAACCCGTTGCTCATCAAATGTAATGTACTGTTTTTTTGCTAGAAATTTAATTTTGAACTACGAATTGACCTTTAATCATTAATTTGGGCATCAAGCAACGTCGCACAAAGTTTTCTTCCTTTTCAGGCTACGTCACACACGTTTTGTTCCGCACCACCCGGCCGCGTAATATCACACCTGTTTCGCTATACAATTGAGAATGCAGAGTAACGAGCTTGTGTGTACAGTTGGTTGTTGATTATTATTATTGTATGTTTGTAGATTTCCGCTTTTGAGGACGGTATCTTACGTCCTTTTAATTAGGAGTTACGAAAGTGTCCACAACGTCACGACCTTGACGATCTTTTAGATGTGGTTGAAAATCTCACTGCTGGCACCTTTGTTCTTCCAGGAATTCAATCAGCCGATGATTGTTATTGAATTAGTTTTGTCGATGACCTCAGGGTGTGATTTCAGGGTAGCAATGTAATTGACCCAGTAGTCTGCAACTCCACCGCACTCCAACAAGATGTGCGTTGAACTATCAATTGAAAAATGGTCTGATAAACATATGTTATAGACATATAAGTGCATTAAAGACAAGAAGCTTACACGCCATCTGAATGATAATAATACCATAGACGCAACGTGAATAGCGCCGTCCTCATCAAAGTATTAGGTCGAATCTCAGTTGCGTTGGAAGATCCTTCCGCCTTTCAGAGCGAAATATATTATGTGGTTGAAACAGGTAGAGTTCATCGTACTTTAGTAGTGGGGGGGGGGGTCTTAGCAAATATCACATTGATGGTCGAAAATTCTAAAAACTGCCTCACGTAATTAATGAACGCCCCCTTGACCTTGCTGACGTTCGTGAGCGATAGTGGCCGCTCTACACCTGGACGGAGGTATGCTCGTCTGTCTGTTAAGGCAATAAGAATGGATTATTTGCAATATTATGGAAAAAAATACTCTGGGCTAAGTTATAGGGTCCAGATACACTTTCCACTAGTTCTTAAGTACGAGTTGTAACGTGGACTGTGGACTGTTCTGTACTGTAACGTGATCTGTACTGTAATGTGGATTGTTCTGTAACGTGGTCTGTACTGTAACGTGGTCTGTATTGTAACGTGGTCTGTACTGTAACGTGGTTTGTACTGTAATGTAGATTGTTCTGTAACGTGGTCTGTACTGTAACGTGGTCTGTACTGTAATGTGGGCTGTACTGTAATGTAGATTGTTCTGTAACGTGGTCTGTACTGTAACGTGGTCTGTACTGTAATGTGGATTGTTCTGTAACGTGGTCTGTACTGTAACGTGGTCTGTAACGTAACGTGGTCTGTACTGTAACGTGGACTGTACTGTAACGTGGTCTGTACTGTAATGTGGACTGTACTGTAACGTGGACTGTACTGTAACGTGGTCTGTACTGTAATGTGCACTGTACTATAACGTAGATTTTGGGCGATATATGAATTCGGTCGAGCGGTCGGTTAATCTTTAAAAATATATTGCGAAAGAATTTGAATGCCTCATTAATATTTAACAGAAATGTAGACGTGATTAGTACATTAATATTGTGGTTGCTAATTGTTTCACCACTTACTGTTTGTTCGTAGGAAACCTGATGGTTACCGTGTTGCCTCTCTGACTGGAGTCCCCGTGGCGAGCGAGTGTCTGCGCGAATTCTGCTGCCCGAAATTACATGGATATGTACAGTACTGGCGGTAGGACCTCTTGTGAGTCCGCGCGGGTAGGTACCACCACCCTGCCTATTTCTGACGTGAAGCAGTAATGCGTTTCGGTCTGAAGGGTAGGGCAGCCGTTGTAACTATACTGAGACCTTAGAACTTATATCTCAAGGTGGGTGGCGCATTTACGTTGTAGACGTCTATGGGCTCCAGTAACCACTTAACACCAGATGGGCTGTGAGATCGTCCACCCAACTATGCAATAAAAAAAAAACCTAACTCTGAATTCCCATGAACGTTCAGAGCGTAAGCTAATGAAAATAAACATTTATGTTGACCTTGACTAGTCACTTATGTGAATTGACAGTTCCCATTTCCTTCAAAGCGTTCAAACGGACGTCAATCTGCAATCTTTTGAGATGTTCGTGTTAAATTATCTTCGCGATTTGAACTTTGTAGAGGCGGGTTGTACAACACAAGCTGAATAAACTTAAACAACGTTTATGAATCCACAGTTAAAAATCCAATACAACATGACGTTGATAGGTTCGAGATTTATAATTTCAAAAAATAGATTGATAAATGCTTTTAACTACTACATGGTTTCGGCTGTAACAAAACTCATTACTGCAAGTTAAAGGCCTCTGCTCCCTTTGGAAGATGTAGTCTTATCTGTGCCCCAGGTTCATATACCATCGTTCTTCCAATATCTGCTGAAACCATGTGTCTGAGCTGCTTAACCATTCTGTAGTTATTCTTTTTAAAGCTTAAACATCAACCTTATATCTTAAGCTGGACGGCACCGTTAACATATAACATATAAAATTGTTCATTCCACTTTGTTTTCTCAGTCCTCTACTTTTTAAACAAGTTTATTTTTAATACACAGAACGCGTAAATCCAAACAGCTTAGTCAGCCGTCCGCTTATTACACGTACGACGTGATACTACACATATTTTTAAAAACTTTTTTTGGCAAACATTCGTATTACAAGGTGTTTTCCAAGACAATATAAACATAGAATTTGCACGAAAAAAAATTCAAACATAACTTAAAAAGCAGACTAGAGAGACTGACCATCTTGTATTTGACAAAATGCATCATTCAGACGTGGATCGTAGTCATTATTAGTTTCATACGCCGACAAGTGTTTAAATAGCCTATCGATTACCGTCTGTTTTTTTTATTTTTATTTTTTTCCCCTAGATATGGGACGAGCTCAGCCTAATAGGCTATTCCAAACTAACGCGGTGTTAAGTGGTTACTGGAGCCCATAGGCATCTACAACGTAAATGCGCCATCCACCTTGAGATATAAGTTCTAAGGTCTCAGTATAGTTACAATGGCTGCCCCACCCTTCAAACCGAAACGCATTACTGCTTCACGGCAGAAATAGGTGGGGTGGTGGTACCTACCCGCGCGGACACACAAGAGGTCCTACCACCAGTAACAAGTAGACAATTCCAGTGTTGTGGAATTGTCAAAATATAGTAGTGCCTTAAACACTTCTCCCCCCCGCATTAAGCACGATCATTCAATATAAACCGGTGTTTAATTAACGAATGGAATCGTAATCGTAAATTTGATCCGCGATGTGTTACCCATATCACACCAATACACGGTTACAGTATATGTATTGCAGAGCGCGGCCGGCTAGTTCATCACATTCAGTGCTTCGCCATTCACGTTCATAAGACGCGACCGACATGTGCACATCGAAATATCGTCAAACAATAACTCGTCAATTTCAATAACTTAAAAAAAAAACCGTGCTTATTGTTCTTGCAATTGTTTTTTACAATTTAGTAAAATAATCTACATTCAATATAATTTCGTGCAATTTGAATTTAATGCAATTTAGTGCTTGTGTTTCTTCAGTGTTATAATGAGTGCCCAGGACAGATACAGATATAAGGGTGACGACGATGGCTTTGGACGGAAGAGTTCCACAGTGTGGACAGTCAGCAAGCCCAGTAATGATGAAAGGCATTACCCGTATAACGAAGCTATTAATTTGGCTGGTGAGTTTTCATCTTATTTTTTGATAACTTATATAAAAATAAAACTGGTTTGAAATCAAATTGGCGGTAAAAATCAAACATATTAATGTTATGTAATAATACATTATTTATGTTTTATATTGATTTATCTAATTAATGTAGTAGAATATAATAAAAAAATCAATTGTCCTTTGTTTTGTAGACGACAGGGTTGATATTGTGTTCAATAGCGGTTCTTGTTTCGTTCTGGATAAGTCGCTTGCATTGGTGTCGAGGTTTCGAATGATGTTCAATAGCAGAGACATTTGGTGGATCAGGTCAAGTTGGCGTCAAAAATGCTGGGAAACGCTCAACAGAGCGACGCGGTACTTCATGCCTAGACAAAGACTTTTGCTTAGACAGTGCACTGAGGAATTGTTTGAAATGATCCCATCATCTCGTTTTTAACTCTTTTGACATCCTGCTTTGGAATATATTTTCGTCTTCCGTGTTTCCTGAATGCTATGACATGTCTTCTTCAAATCAGATTTGCGGAGACTACTCAGCTGGTCCTGGTATTGTTAACGGCTATGGGCGTCGGTGACCACTCACCATCAGGTGGGCCGTACGCTCTCCGGCTTGCAATGGCAACAAAAAAGGCACACGAATCTATGATGGCTGCTTGACGAACAATGTTTACCGCCAATAATTAGATAGTTTCGAACATCTTAAATTTTATTTTATCTATATCTAATCTATATTTTTTTCTCTAACAAATTGTTTTCAATTTTTCGCAATGGTTCTTTTAAAATATTTCAGCGTCAGCTTCCGCAGCTGCCTATTGAGGCGTGAAGTAAAACTCAATACTAACAGTTCGTTTTGACGAAAATATATTGTTTAATTAATCAACAAATTAAAGAGCGGACGGTTAGCGTGGTATGGACATGTGATGCGTAGAGAGAAGATGCATGTGACTAGGAGATGTATGGAAATGGTAGTGCAAGGTAGAGGGGGAAGAGGTCGACCGAAGAAGACATGGATGGAGTGTGTGAATGACGATATGAGAGAGAGAGGAGTGGGTGTTGAGATGACGGCTGATAGAAGAGAATGGAAGAGAAAAAATAGCCGTGCCGACCCCACCTAGTGGGATAAGGTGGAGAAAAAGAAGATATTATTTAATTAATCAAATCAACCTAAGTATTCTCAAAAAATTCGCTTCAATCTTACGCTAATAATATTCTTATTCGCATTCGCAACAGTTAGCCAGCTCGCGGTGTACGGAATACACGTCCGTTTGCATAATATACATCTGTGCTTTATGTAAATTTTCCTAGGCATTTGATTTGACACACAATATTGTTGCAATTGTAATGCGTACGCTTGTCCGTTAGTAATTTATTGCTCCGTTATGGATACGGCTGATTAAATGCAAACCGTCATTAAAAATACCATTATAGTTAAACTCATTTTATTGTATGTGTTTTCATTGTTATTTGCTGGTGGTAGGACCTCTTGTGAGTCCGCACGGGTAGGTACCACCGCCTTGCCTATTTCTGCCGTGAAGCAATGATGCGTTTCGGTTTGAAGGGCAGGGCAGCCGTTGTAACTATACTCAGACCTTAGAACTTATATCTCAAGGTGGAAGGCGCACTTACGTTGTAGATGTCTGTGAGTTCCAGCAACCACTTAACACCAGGTGGGCTGTGAAGCACGTCCACCCGTCTAAGCAATAAAAAAAATTGCGGCCTTGGATTGGGCGATCGTAGACATAATACAACATGAATATCGTCACCCACCTTGCAACATGAGATCGAAGTGTGCAACGACTGTCACTCTCTGTAAACCACTCACTCACCATCATATAAACTTAGATTTATTAAAGGTTTGTTTCGGCACAGATTCTTTTAAGAGATCATCCACTATTATTAATAATTATTAATTGCAAAGCGAGTTCCCTGCATTGGTGGTAGTTCCCTGCATGGTTCAGCACTTCGTTCATCAAAATATTACGAGAAAAGGAAAGAATTCGGAATAGGTTCAAAAAATACAGAAACCCTAGATACGAAATTGAATACCATCAGCTCCGCTCTAGATGCCACGCAATGTACGATAAATGCTACTCAGATTATAGGAATAAAATCGAAGCCAATATCTCAAAGAACCCCAAGCTATTCTGGAGCTTTTTTGAACATAAAAGAGGTGGTGACTCGTCCATACCTGCAACTATGAACTTGGAAGACCAGGTTGTAAAAACAGGCCCTGACATTGTGAATCTTTTTGCAGAACATTTTGCCTCAATTTACTTGCCCAGCTCAACACCTCCGGATAACTTTACGTTTGAATCTCAGTGCCACGGGTCTCCACAACGGATATTGTGTTCATTGGCTATCGAGGAAATTGAGGTGCTTAAAGCGATCAAAAAGATCGACTCTGCGAAGGGTGCTGGCCCGGATGGGATTCCGCCGGTATTTGTGAAAAGATGCGGTTCTGCGATAGCTCTGCCTCTGTCCTTAATATTTGACCGATCATTAGCGGATGAGACATTTCCGTCCGAGTGGAAAAAAAGCGCGCATTGTACCAGTCTTTAAAAAAGGGGAAAATTCTGACGTTAAAAACTATCGCCCTATTTCCATTCTGTCTTGCTTGTCTAAACTATTTGAATCGATTGTCTATCCTGTGATCTTTCGGCTTGTAGACGGTAGCATCTCGGATTCACAGCACGGTTTTAGACGTGGACGCTTAATCGTCACTAACTTGGTCCCTCAAGACTCAGGCAGGCAGGTTGACGCCATCTACACCGACTTTAGTGCTTTTGATCGAGTTAACCATTCAATTCTTTTGAGGAAATTATATAGATTCGGTGTGGATGGCCCACTTTTGAAATGGTTCGAGTCTTACTTGCAACAGAGACCTCAGTCGGTGTCTGTAGATGGACTTAACTCGAAAACTTATTTTGCAAATACCGGTGTGCCCCAGGGATCGTATTTGGGACCCCTTCTTTTCATAATCTTTATTAACGACATAGTCGATAGAGTAAGTCACTAAAAGGTGTCACTATTTGCCGATGACCTCAAGATATACAAAACCACAGTTTCTGTTGTCGACTCTCGCCAATTGCAAATTGACCTAGATGCGATCCTAACGACTTGTCATTGCCGAGTGTTGTGGCATCGATGCTCGGTGACGACGAGTCGTGGAAGGCGATGCTCGACTTCTGCGAGTACACCATCTCGTAGAAGGAGGCGGCGAGGCGCGTGAGAGACGCACAGGTCCGCCGCCATCGAGCGGGGGCCAGGGAGGCGGATTTCGCCCAAGCCCTGGCCCTCTAAGTGTTTCGGGTCTCCCTCACATTTCGGCCTGGGGACCGATGAAGGGGGCCTAAGAAGACGACGTGCAAGCTGCTCTGCACGCGTTTTATGCAAGAGCATCCGGCTGACGGAAGGCCGGCTATCCTCCGGCTACCCACGCTGGTTCTGATCCAGCGGGGTATTCCGTAGGATAGACCATTCTAACCGGCGCTATCTAGGCGGGCTTCGGATAGCCTGCCGACCGAGAAGACTGGTGGTCGTGGCGCCGACGACCGCCAGTCCAGCGTCCCGAGGGGGAGGGTGATGGGAGAGATGTGCTCCGCACTAAACGCTTCACTTTCCCCCCCTTTGCCTTTTCATGAGTTCTGTCACATGCGAGGTTTGGATGCTGGTTGTTGAGCAACAGGAGGTTTTAGTCGGTTCAACTCCGACATGCCCCACCCTCCATCCCCAGTAGAGGGCGGAAGTCCGGTGATTTCCTCCTGACAAAAAAAAAATCCTACAATGGTGTCGCTGTAACAGTATGACACTCAACGCAAGTAAATGCTTTCACATTAAATTTACTAGAAAAAGAAAGCAACTTGCTACGGAATATAAGCTTGATGGTACAGCACTGGCAGAAGTTAACGAAATCCGAGATCTTGGCGTGATAGTTGACAGTCAACTTAAATTCACCTCGCACATTAACAAGTTTGTCACAAAAGCAGCTCAAATGCTGGGATTTTTGAAACGTAACTCGGGATATAAACATTAGCGCACCAAAATCTTGCTTTACCAAACCTTGGTGCGCAGTTGTCTTGAGTTCGCCAGTGTTGTATCGACATTTCTTCTTTTCTTTTTACTTGTTAAATTTGAATTTCAAGTATGTTTTCGTTAAGTATCCTTTTTGTTTTTATTATTGTCTTCCATCTTCGGGCCGATGAATTGCCAATGTTATGTTTTATTTTCAATGTTAAATGTTTGTGATGTGGTAGTACTTTTTTTAATAAATAAATAAATAAATAAAATAAATCGATAAATATTTTAAATTTCTGCGTAGCGATATATGTGCGTACATTCCCAATCAGTTCTGCGAATTCTTCTCAATGTTGAAACTGCATTTAGAATCGGTGGTCATTTTATGATCACATGAAATTGCCTGATAAAGCCTATTTCGATTCGGGCTAGAAAGTGGCAGGGTGGTAATAGACAGACAGGGTGGTGTTGGCTCACGGCATGCTTTTTTATCTAGTACGCGAATATAATTTATTGAGGGTACCATGGACGAAACAATATACGTAGGTAGGTTGAGGAAGCCTAGAGACAAGGGTCTCTGTCTTCCCATAAATAGACCGCATAGGCCGTTACAAGTTCTTCTGTCGTCGATCGTGATGGAAATCGCTCCAGATATGTATGTATACCAATGGTTCATGACGAAAATCAATCGTGAGGCTACATAGACAAAAAATGCTTTGTAAAATTGGCATGGATCCTGGATGAGTACCGCCGGCGCCTTAGTTGACGGCATAGGCAAATATGGTTGCCATAACGACGTCATTATGTAAAAATATATAAGCTATTCGCTAATATTTTGCATGCGTTTCTTGGTATGTCTGGTGTTATCATCACGATAATTAATACCTTTAAAGGTTCTATTAGACTACTTGTCAAATTACTTTTCAATTCAAACAGAATACGCTGAAGTATATTTCGTTTGAATTTACAAGCAATTACAACATATTTCATTTCAAAGAAAACTTAATGGAAAATGTGGCGGATAAATACACGTTATCTGTAATTGTAAATATCAAGAAGTTGTCATTTTAAAGACAAAAAAAAAATCTTTATTTGGTTAATATTAATAAAACTTCGAGATATCCGAAACTGTTTGCTTTAATTGAAAAAGTATTCAAACAATCCTTTTGTAGATAATTGATATTATGGCGCCTCTTACATTAGTCGCACTCAGCCGCGCGTCACTCAAAACATTGTGCTAAATAATTTCATAGGAAAATCTTTAAAAGTGATTATTTATTAGCTGAATCCTTCTTTAGCGTGTGTCTTGTCTGCGTTCCCGTTGACACAGAATTGCTTTAACCTGAAGATGCTCTGATGTCCGAGGTGTACTGTATACATGGACAGCTCATTCCGTTAATTAACTGGAAGCCCCTGTCGTATTGTTTATATTTAAACTAATTGAAACGTCGTTGGCCCGACGTCCGTTAAATGCTATAAATGGAAGAAGTAAACATCACGTTTGTCATATTTACAAAAGCTTAAGAGTGTGTGCAGATAAACCCTTTTAAATTTTGCATACACGAAAAAACATTCATCTATTCACTCGGTTGGTTTAGCAGCTTGAAGCAGCTTATGGTTAAATTTGTCATTGCAATTTTACGCGTTCGGGATTCAGTGTGATTAATATTTCCATTTATAAACTAATTAACATGCTTAATGAAAGATAAGGTTGATTACAAGACGTAAAGCAATTACAAAATTCATTAAACTGAAAGGAAATATTATTTTTACATCCACTCACTCATTAAAAAAATGGTAGGCAGCGGCTTGGCTCTGTCCCTGGCATTGCTGATGTCTATGAGTGACGGTAACCACTAACCATCAGGTGGGCCTTCAAAGGCAATAAAAATCATACATACACACTTCTTCTTCATGGGTCCAAAAATACAAATCCATACAATACATCCACACAATGGAGAGGTCTTGGACATGTGGCCTCGTGAACATGTAAACATTCAATAGTTCCAGAGAACTGGTTATGCCGTCACCAAGCGGTGTACTCCGTATCAATGATGTGTATTCCGAGGACTGAACATCATCATATTCTAACGGGTGGTCTAACCGCGGCCAACCCAAACTTTTTATACCCCTCATCCCATGTTTATACATCATACTAGCTTTTTCCCGCCACATCGTCCGCGTGGAATAGTTCACAAATAATACTTTATTTTAGAACAAATTTGGTTAGCATAAAAACGTTATAGTGAGCCAACCTTAACATATAGACATATGCTGTCGCGGACTTTTTTTTAGATCTTTTAAAGGGGAACAATTCTGTCATACATTATTTTAGCGAAACTTTAACCGTTTCTGCAGCGCACGCAGCGGAAGCTCTCAAAAGGGAAAAAACCCCGATTTTGGAACATTCTTTATTGGTGCTCCGCTTGTACCTATTGGTCTTAGCGTGATGTTACATAGCCTATAGCCTTCCTCGATAAGTGGGCTTTCTAACACTGAAATAATTTTTCAAATCGAACCAGTAGTTTCTGAGATTAGCGCGTTCAAATAAACAAACTCTTCAGATTAGATTAAAACAGAACGCAATAATTTCTAGTGCATAAAGTAAAATCTATTTTGTAGCCAAGCTCAGAGACTTGTAGTGTTGTGAGACTCGAACTTTGTGGAGCGCCAGCGTTAATGCTTAAGCAGTAACTGTCCAAAAGCTAGTGATCTACTTGAAGGGTCTCTGGACGACTCAAAGAGCTTGGTTATTTCAAAGGACAAGTGCCCTGTACAAGGACTATGCGACTTCAAGGTTCACGTGAAAACATTGACCTTGCTTTCGTCATGCCAATTGTGGTGCATTAGTTACGACTCACATCCAATCGATTGTTTTTAAATTGGTAGTAATGTTGACCCATTTTATTGTTTCGAGCGCGTCTAATAATGCGACTACAAACAAACTCTCAGTTGAATCTCACTCGGTTTGCTATTTATGCAAAATGAAGTGATCTAAAGGTATATATGGTTAAGGGAGTTGAGGTAAAAGATTCCGATGCATTTGACATAAGTGGTTGGGTGTACCATGTGTCAGCTCGATAAATTGTGTTATTGCTTTAATTCTTTTATTGTTTGTTTGGTTTGGGAGCAGCGCATAGGACGACCCTAACTCACTTTGTGCTAAATGATATAACAAATGTCAATGAAACTTTTCGCAACACAAAAACTCTCAACGTATGACTGCGGCGGCATTCACGTTTAGAAGGTTATCATTCCCACATTAAAAAGATCACTGAGATCGTATCTTATATTAGTGATAATAAAATAACATTCAAATATTCCTGTACTCGAAAGGTTGAATGGATGCTTCTATTTACAATTTCACAGTTTAATGAACTTATAAAAATAGTCTGTTTCGTTTCACTCGCACTATCGGTCGCGTCGTCTCGCCGTGTCCTAATCATGACTTTTCAGTGACTTTCTTTGTTTTATTTTCTAACTGAAACTTGCATTACGACATTAAAAATATATTACATGTTTTATTTACGTTGCTCTGTTGATACCGTTAGTTTGTGCGTTGTCAATAAAAGTTATATAAAATTATAATTAAAGCAGATAAACAACCTCCTTACACTGACCATACTATATACTAAGAGCTCTGGCTACCAGTGCTAACATATAGCATATTTTTTCGGCAAGATATAATTAGCAATGTTTACTACTCGTGGGCAAACGAAATCACATGATTTTAAATTGGTATTGAATGCCATTGGCCGTTAATATGACTGGCCCGGCCTTCAGAGTGCCTCCCAGCAGGAGTGGATCGGATGATTAAAAAGTTATCCATTCTCAAGCTAGGGATTCCTACTGTGTCATGTGTGCTGCAAGAACATGTATGAACGTTACAAGTGAGTGCTCTCCAACACCGAATATTAAATCTCTGCCGTGAGCCTTGTACCGCTGGGTTACAGGTCATGCGACAATAAATATAAACTGTTCTTGATTCATACGTCACTACGTACGCTAAGCTCAAAGTTTGGTTTTGACGGTGTGATTGCGTATGTCGCATCTGTTACAACACACATCGGACTCGTGACGTAGTATCGTTTATTGTTACTCTTCTTACCGTTGCTGATACCGTTGTTGCCATACGAATAATATATTGGATGAAGTGCCTTTCGTGAGAAGCTTGAGGTATTCAGGTGTCTTGATGCGGAGATTGAGTCCCTGGATCATCAATTCATGCGCTATCACTGTAGGCTGGAGTGTGCAAGATAATACAGCTCACTAAACAACCCTAGGGTTGTTTTTCCGCTAAGTTCTATTTTCGCCCCCACAGGACTCTGAAAAGGCAACTGAGTAGATAGCGCTGCCTTTGATCGGCGGCAATAGGAAAAAATGTACGTAAAAGGACTCGAACATTCGTTTAAGCATTGTTTAAATATTATTTCGCTTACGAAACGCAAAATCCGTAACTAAACAACTCAATAGTTATGCTAAAACATATGCTACTTGCATCTATTACTATAGCAGTAAAGTTATGCTATGGAAACTAGTATATTATGAATAGTAAAAAATTAGATAACCATAATATTTAGGCGGACTTACTCGTAGATCCTGCAATCTTTTTCTGCCATTCCTTTGGTGAAGTGGACGCCAGTACTATGACGCACAGACAATAAGTTGCCTAACGAATTGAACTTTGTTGAAGATTACCTTATCTTTACCTTCCAGATGACTACGAAGCTGATCAATGCTGAATGTTCTAAATATATCTTATGAATCCCAATACCTGCGAAATATGGTGCGATATTAATTGAGATTAACGCGCGGTGGCATCTTTATATTAGTGAAAAAATCGTATAAACGACAAAAAACTCATATTTGACAACAAAGAGCTTAATCTATTTTTCCTTGACTATCCAGGTAACGGAAGGTACAGCATCGGTCTAATGGCAACGTTGAGTATGGCGGCTTTGGCCATGGCCATCGACATGTTCGGCTTCTCCGTCATCGTGACAGGAGCCACCTGTGACTTCCAGTTGGACTTGAGTCAGACCAACATTTTACTGTCTATGCCATTTGTCGGTAAGATCTTGTGATATCTTCATATGGAGAACTTGATAAGTTTTAAAACTATTTAATTTCTTAAATAATTTATCTGTCTTCCAGGTCCAATAGCAATGGCGTATCCATGGGGCTACATAGCGGATACCAAGGGTCGGAAGACCAGCCTGCTGATAGCCATGTGGGGAAGTTTTATCGTCTCCGTTGCCAGTGCCTTTGCCCCGAACTGGGTATTCATGGCTGTTATGAAGTTCATCAGTACAAGCTTGTAAGTGTTGAAGGTATATTAGCAACCCTTATAGAACACGCTGATCTGGTTAACGGAGCATCCCAAGTGCTGCGCGAAGATTGTATATAAAAAAAAAAATTGTCCAGTACGACCACTGTAAATATCACGATTGATAGCAATAAGAGAGTTCAGTTTCATTTTGGCTCTATCCTGTGTCATAGCAAGCATGCCTTCTGATTAGAAAGGTAATAATATAATTGTGGTGGTAGGACCTCTTGTGAGTCCGCTTGAGTAGGTACCACCGCCCTGCCTATTTCTGCCGTGAAGCATGCGTTTCGGTTTGTATGGTGGGGCAGCCGTTGTAACTATACTGAGACCTTAGAACTTATATCTCAAGGTGGGTGGCGCATTTACGTTGTAGATGTCTATGGGCTTCAATAACCGCTTAACAGCAAAGGGGGTTTTGAGCTCGTTCACTCATCTAAGCAATAATTTTTTTTATAAAAAATGTCTATTCTTTGATACGATTGAATTGATGAATACGATCCTTTGATATCATGTTTCAAGGTAAGTTGTGCTAATAGCGTTCTGATTTCAATAGATGCCTGTAGCCTCTTAATATCAGATATACTGTCAGCTCTTTTGCTATTTATAATAAAAATTGGCTTATTAATACGTCGTTTGCCACACGGTGATGTTGAAGCGAAAATTTTCATATTTCAGTTTTAAGTTAATTCTTAAACATTGTGCCTAGATTCATTATTGCGAACAGTGAGTCACACATCGTTCGCTGAGGCAGCGAGCGTGATTGGTGAACATTTCTTCAGCACGTCTTAAACTTCACTTAAACGATTCTGTTTCAAGGAACCGTTAAATGTCGGTCATTGTTTAGCGACGTACATTTTGTGGGCACTCAACGATAATCTCTAACAATTGACCGGTCGTTTAGATAACGCGAAATATTTAACAAATGGTCTGGCGTATGACTTAGTGAATGTAGCTCGGCACGTTGAGAGTTATTGAATATTTGCTGTACAACACGTGATTACACGTGATTGTTAAGACAAAATTAGTGTAATGCAGGTTCATTTAATAAAAAAAGGCACAGGTAGTTGGAGGAAGAAACACGTTTTAGTTAAGAATATGATGGTCAAATAGCTTCTAGTGTAGTCTATCTATCAAGAAATCAAGAATGCTCTTCGACAAAACTAAGCAGATGCTAATGCGATTACCGAAGGCGTGTCCGAAAATAGATAATGTTCTACGATGAACAGATTTAGTAGCTTAAAGAAATCAGAACGCCTCGGCCTTTTTGTTATGTTTTTTGTTTGAAGAAAAAATTATTATCATCATCGTAACGCTCGGCAAGCACCACGTAAGCTATCGTGAGCACATTACATATTTGCATACATTGATACAGTAGTGCTGTCTATTTTTCTGTTTGTTGTATTTTTGTGTTTGTCAATGAGTAGACGCTTATCAACTCTCAAAGTCGGGTATCCCACGGATATCTTAATAATATACCTTTGTTCACGATTGACTTCCACGGTGAAGGAATAACATCGGTAATAAAAATCAAACCCGCGAAAATTATAATTTGCGTAATCACTGGTGGTAGGACCTCTTGGGAGTCCGCACGGGTAGGTACCACCACCCCACCTATTTCCGCCGTGAAGCAGTAAGGCGTTTCGGTTCGAAGGGTGGGGGTAGCCGTTGTAACTATACTGAGACCTTAGAACTTGTATCTCGAGGTGGGTGGCGCATTTACGTTGTAGATGTCTATGGGCTCCAGTAACCACTTAACACCAGGTGGGCTGTGAGCTCGTCCATCCATCTAAGCAACAAAAAAAATAAAAAAATATGTATCCACGTGATCAAGAATCTCTATTTCACATTACTTGAATGTAATTAATATCCCTTTTTACCCTCAGCTGCAGTTGTGCTCAATCAGTGACGTATACACTCCTCGGTGAGAGCTCATCGGAAACATTTCGAGACTCATACATGCTCATCATGACAAGTGTGTTGGACTTCAGTTTAGCTGTTTACGTTGGTAAGTTAAAACATGTATGAATACGTACATGTCAGTGAAAACTGTTTTTATTGTTGTAGATGGTCAGATCAGCTCACAGTCCTTCTCGTTAAGTGTTTATTCGAGCCCTTAGATAAGACGTTGTGGCAGTATTGGGACGGCTGTACCCGCCGGTCGGACCAACAAGAGCCGGCAGCCAAGAACCGGCAGAAAGAGGCAGGGTGGTGGTGCCTAACCATGCGGCCTGACAAGACGTCCTACTACCAGTAATTACGTAAATTATAATTTTGCGGGTTTGATTTTTATTACACGATGTTATTCCTTCACCGTGGAAGTCAATCGTGTACATTTGTTAAGTACGTATTTCATTGGAAAAATTGGTACCCGCCTGCGGGATTCGAACACCGTTGCATCGCTACATACGAATGCACCGGACGTCTCATCCTTTAGGCCACGATGACAACAAGCATACTTCCATCTAAAATTTTACAAAAAAATAGCCGTGAAATAAAATTAGGTACATGCTTTGAAACACTACTTATTAAACACCCTAAATGTTTAAAATTTGTATTTGTTTATCGAATGTAATAAGCCTGAAATAGATAGACAAAAATATATGTAATGTGCAGACATATTTGTTCATATCTTTTCCTGGCACCATAAACAATAATAATATACATAGAATGGCTCGACTTGAATACATAGTTAGATATTATAGCATTGTTTTATTTGATGGTTCAAAAGAGTATTCAATACAATGTTGTGATAAGTAAATGATGTTTCGCTTTGTGGAAATCATTACATCCTGGTATGTAAGGTTAGTTAATAGAGCGTTTCGTTGTAATAATAAATAGCTATAAGTGTCTGTGGTTTAATGAGTGACACGTCCGTTGTACTCATATAGCGTAATGCGACTACATTGCTGAGTAGAAATACTGCTTTATAATGGCGCCGAAATTCCAAAGAGTCTCCCTGCGGAATCTTTTCGGAGCGTATAGGGATTCTTGGGATCGATATATTTAGAGTTTTTCAGTATTGGAGTTATTTGGAGGTAGTCTTTAACAGAGCGACGGCCAAAAACTTGTTTTACAAAGCCCAACTCCTGCCTCACGTGGAGTATTGCTCTTACCTTAACCTGGGCTCCCAAGTACCAGCTACTTCCATTTAACTCGATACAGAAAAGGGCCGTTCGCATTGTTGATAATCTCGTTCTCACGGATCGTTTGGTATCTCGAGTTTTGAACTCGAGTATCTATCTAAACAATAAAAAAAATAAAACAATAAAATTTAATTTTCAGTTGCCGCCTATTTCATTCTCAATCTCCCATTCAGCTTGAACTTTGGCTTCATAACGTTTACGCCATGGCGTCTCTTGACTCTCGTCCTAGCGTTGCCTCTGGGCATCAGCGCTATGGGGATGCATTTCTTCTACGAAAGTCCCAAGTTCCTTGTCAACGCTGGCAGAACAGAGGAGGCAATTGAAGTCCTAAAGAACATTTGGTACAGGAATGGAGGCTACGGTGGCAAGTATGCTGTGAGTATTCATGAGTTTACTTGTTTAATTTAAAGGATACATACAATTGTATTTAGCTAATATGTTATTAGTTATACGAAGTAATTATAAGTCGTCATTTCTATGAGATTTATTCGTTTTGTCTTAAAATTACGTAAATGTATAGATCAAATTTTATAAATAATTTTATATTCTTTTTATTGCCTCTTTAGGCAGACGGGTATATGGCCAACCTGATGGTAAGTGGTTACCGTTGTTCATGGACGTGAGAAATATCAGGGGCACGGCAAAGTCGCTTCCCGCCGCGAGCAGTAGTCACTATACTAAGATCTTAGAACTTATATCTCAAGGTGGGTGGCGCATTTACGTTGTAGATGTCTATGGGCTCCAGTAACCACTTTAAACCAGGTGGGCTGTGAGCTCGTCCACCAATCAAAGCAATAAAAAATATATATATCTAAATGTGGACAAACAACACCACAAAAACTATTCGAAACATCGCGTCGGTACAAAATTAAATTAAAATAACAAACTCGAGATGAAAGGATTAGTTCGAACATGTCTACTCATTGTTTTGTCTACTGACACTAGTATCTAGGTCGTATATAGAACAAATTCAGAGACAGATATCTCGGTTTTTTATCTACGAGTATTTTGATTGCCTCATATTTAGTTGTGTGGGGGCCCACAGCAGCACCTTCGTCTCTTGTTGTGGGTGTCGTACAAAGCGTTTAAACTTTATTCGTATAAATTCCGATCGCCAACTGGAATTTACTAGCGCATTTTGAGTCCGTACCCCTCAGGGTACCATCTTGTCTGCGACCAAGCGTCCTGGACTGAAGGTTGGCGCAGCTGTTATGCAATACGACTGTGATTTAGAGCTTGTGGTTTAGGCAGGTGCCTGTGATAATATTACCTACATCGGGCGTCTTATTCTTTAGGGCACGACGCTTGCAAATTTAATGCTAAAGTATTTTAAAGTTGCTTTTGATTATTAATTAATATGTTAATAATAACTTTGCTGCTAACAATTAAAAAACAGGGCTCTAATTGTACAGCTGTTGTTTACGGAATGCTCATTACATTAATTGTTACGGTCGTCTTGTTATTTATCCAATTACAGTTCGCAAAGATAATGTTTCATGTATAGAAATACTTTGAACAACATATCGTGGACAAACAGATAAAACAATGGCCCATCTAAAAAAAGTTTACCAAAGACCAATAAACGTGTTTTTTTGTTGCTAAAGATGGATAGACCATAACATGGCTCACCTTATCTTAAGTGCTCACCGGAGCCCACAGACACCAAAGGTTGTTTTCTGTCATTTTAAGGACGAAGTGTCAATCACACTGCATAAACAAGGGCTATCTTTACTAACTTCGAATGCATGATTGCTTCGCGACAAACACAAATAAAATGATAGTTTGGAGAAAACTTCGACGAGAAATATTCCCACCGAGCAGACAATATAGCTCGGTAGGTCCATTGGCTCAAATGTTAGTATACCTATACATCGAAACATGTTTTTTTTTATTGCTAGGTGGGTGGACGAGGTCACGGCCCACCTGATGTTAAGTGGTTACCGGACCCCATAGACATTTACAACTTAAATGCCGCCACCCACCTTGAGACATGAGTTGTGATGGTCCCACTTTTAACAGTACAACGGCTGCTCCAGTCTTCAAACCGAAATGCATTACTGCTTCACGGCAGAAATAGGCAGGGTGGTGGTACCTACCCGTGTGGACTCACAAGACGTCCTACCACCAGTACAGACATACTAGACGATGACCGAGCTTGGCTCGGTTTTTTTTTGATAACGCCATCTTGTTGTGTCTTTAAAGCGGTTAGTTGCCCTCAATTAAGAAAAATAGTATTATTATTCGCCAATATATGTCGGGAAGAGTTGATTATTGAAAACACGAATAAAACAAAATTTTCTGAAAATAAATCGTAGCTAGATCGATTTATCGCGCCCGAAATCGCCTGTATCCTAAATTTTATGAAAATCGTTGGAGCCGTTTCCGAGATTCAGATTATATATATATTAATATACAAGAATTGCTCGTTTAAAGGTATAAGATATCCTGCGCGTCGGAATTTTTATTTTTGAAGTTTATGTCCTAAAAGGTCCTGTCCATTTATGAAAACTGTTATCTGACCACTCGTTGCACACTTTTCTCCCCTTGCTTCTATCTTCGGCAGCGACGAACGACCTAAACTTAAAGAACCCCTGACGGAGGCTATTTCAGATTACTGTGCAGATTATTTCATGCATAGCCTTGATCTAAACTGTTTTATGCACGCGCTTTTAAATCCAGTTCAGCGAGATCTTTTTAATAGTCTAAATTTAAATTCAAACGAAATAAAATCAAATAAATTTTTTTCCAGGTCAAAAAGATATTCTTAGAAGAAGAAGGAAATGAAAAACACAAAGACCAATCCTTACTCCAGTCTCTATGGGATCAGATAGTACCTATCTTCAAGCCTCCACTTTTGACGCGGAGTATACAATTGTATTTCCTGACCGCTGTTATTTATAGCACGTAAGAACTTACTCAGATTATACTAAACTTAATTATATTAAACATAACGTTCACGTGTACGTAATGTGAGCTTTTGAAGATACTGCACTTTATACATTGTACCAGGCTCGTGTATAAAGTTCCTATTACATTTTTCTGTTAATCCAAACTGCTGACGTGAATAATGTCGATGTCTTAATGTCGTTGGGGTAAACGGCCGTCTGGTGAAGTGGTAAGTGACATGGTCACTACACAAGGGGGTCGCGGGTTCGAATCCCGCCAAGGGAAGATATTTGTATGATAAATATAAATGTCTTTTCCAGGGTTATGGATGTATATTAAATATATGTATGTGTATAATAAAAATCTTACATTTATATCCGTTATCTGGTACCTGTAACACAAGTTCTTTACGAACTTATCACGGGACCAGTTANCCGCCAAGGGAAGATATTTGTATGATAAATATAAATGTCTTTTCCAGGGTTATGGATGTATATTAAATATATGTATGTGTATAATAAAAATCTTACATTTATATCCGTTATCTGGTACCTGTAACACAAGTTCTTTACGAACTTATCACGGGACCAGTTAACGTGGCGTGATTGTTAGTAAATATTTATTATTATTATTTATTATTTATTTTGAGGTGTTTCAAGGATCCAGAACTACTCAGCAGATCCACTGTGCCCGTCAGCTCCTATAAAGCAATAAAAATACAAGTTAATTTATTTAACCGCAGACATTCGTAACAATTGTAATACTTAGGCATTGTAATACTTATCGTGTGTTGAGAACCGGGCTTAACCGTACCATCTGCTTGAAGTCTAGACGACATCTAGTTTATTTATTTATTTATTACACTTAATGTAAAATTTACATGGGCGGATTTAATGCCTATGGCCTTCTCTACCAGTCAACCAAATAGATTATATACACATATACATATATAAATACATACATAATACATAATAGTTTATGCAGTATTCAAAGGAATATGTGTATTAACAAATTCTCTTAACAAATATCTACAAGTTACTAAATTCATGATGGTTCTCCATGGTCTACATCGCTAAGGATCCCAAGAAAACATTTAGGAGGTTATCACAGAGCTCGATAACCTGTATAGGAAGTCCATTTAGTTACCATCTCCTTTACTCTGAGCTTAATTCCAGGAACAACAGCTACTTCATGTGGTTCCCATTCCTGGCCGAGAAATTCACATCAGGTCTCACTTCCAACACTACTGATGTGGAGCAAATCGATGGACTATGCAACACCATTGTCAGTGTGGCGGCAAATGTTACAGTGCATGTAAGTCTCGATTCTTCCAAATAGAGCAGATTAAGGACCCGATTATCATACTCCTATCTTCTTCTTTTTCTTCGTCGCTTTCTTCATTGCTGAAGGTCGTGTCCCTGAAACTTGACCGTTGCCTGTCTCGTGAGCTGTTTCCATCTCGTCCGGTCCTCAGCTGCTCGAATGGCGGTTGCGACTGGCAACCCAGTTAGAGCGGTTACTTGATCACACCAACTGCAACGGCTAGGTAATCGGCCGCGGGGTCTCTTTCCTTCTACTTTTACTTACTTATACTCCTATAGGCATCACTTATTTTTGCGCGAAAACTTAGCAAAAAGATTTAAACAAAGCAGTACATATTTCGATGAGGTAAACTTAATTTAAGTTCAATTAAAAACATCATTTTTATTTTATTTTATTGCTTTGATGGTTGGACGAGCTCACAGCCCACCAGGTGTTAAGTGGTTACTAGGGCCCCTAGACATATACAACGTAAATGCATTTTGTGAATCTGCGCGGGTAGGTACCACTCTGCCTATTTCTGCCGTGAAGCAGTAATGCGTTTCTGTTTGAAGGGGGGTAGCCGTTGTAACAATACTTGAGGCCTTACAACTTATATCTCAAGGAGGGTGGCGCATTTACGTTGTAGATGTCTATGGGCTCCAGTAACGACTTAACACCAGTAGGGCTGTAAGCTCGTCCACCCATCTAAGCAATAAAAATGAAAATATGCATTTTTGTGGCTTATGCACATTCTAAAGAAATGTCTTTGTATTTCTTACAGCAAGCTCTTTTTATTCAATAGGTTAGGCATGTTGAGTAGACTAAGTTATGTATAGACTGCACAAAAACAGAATTATTTTACTAATGATTATCGTATTCTATTCACATATTATAAATAACAATTTTTTCGGCCACATTATGTAAAAGCCACAAATCTATCAACACTTTAATAAGATTGCTTATAAAATAGCGCCAGGCGCATCAATAAATAAATAATATTAAGCACAATATGGCAAAATCGGGTAGGAGCCTGTCACAGACAATGGGCCAACCGTCAGGATGAGGAATTGAAGTCCTGATTCAAAGCTGTCTAGCTGCTGGTGGCAAGCCTCATTGTAATTCCTTGTCTACACCTTTTTTTTTTTTTTTATTCCTTATATGGGTGTAAGAGCTCACGGACCACCTGATGTTAAGTGGTTACCGGAGCCCATAGACACCTACAACGTAAATGCCACCACCCACCTTGAGCATCAGTTGTAAGGTCTCAATTTTTACAGTACAACGGCTGCCCCGCCCTTCAAACCGAAACGCATTACTGCTTCTCTTTAGAAATAGACAGGGTGATGGTACCTACCCGTGCGGACTCATTAAACGTTCAATAATTTTTATTGGTTTTGATTTTTATTACACGATGTTATTCCTTCACCGTGGAAGTCAATCTTGAACATTTGTGAAATACGTATTTCACTAGAAAAATTGGTACCCGCCGGCGGGATTCGAACACCGTTGCATCGCTAGATAGGAATGCACCGGACGTCTTATCCTTTAGGCCACGAGGACTAAATAATATTAAAGTGATTTAATTTTCTTATTCCAGGCGAAATGCTCAACAGCAATGGAGGTGAGTCTGGTCTGGGCCAGCCTAGCCGAGGGTGTCTCCTTTGTGATCGTGCTCTTGGCCATAACCAAGTTCGCCCGGAGGAAGAAACTGCTGCTCACCATTATTCTAGTGGTCTCCTGCTTCTCAGCCATCGGAGCTGTCACTGTGATGGAAAACATGATCAGTTTCATCCTGTTCTTCGGCTTACTGTTGAACGAGCTGTGCATAGGATTCATATTCTCATATTTTGTTGATTTGTATCCTACTTCTTATCGGTGAGCTTGTGTTTCTTTATTTAGCCTTGTGTGATTTCAAAAAAAAACTATGTATAGTAGGGTGCTTCCCGAGCGTTATGACATGTTCTTCTTCAAACGAGGCTTGTGGAGAGTATTAAGCGGTAGGCAGCGGCTTGGCTCTGCTCCTGGCATTGCTGAAGTCCATGGGTGACGGTAACCACTTACGATCAGGTGGGCCGTACGCTTGTCTGCCTACAAAGGCAATTAAAAAAAAAAGTACAATATAACTTCCCATGGTGGGCTGGGACAACATTCATGTTTCTGTAGTAAATTAGTCTTAAAGTTTGAAGTGGGATAGCCGTTATTGTGTTGCAGTGGTTATGATGGCAATGGGGATAAGTCGCTCAGTCCATGTTGGTGGTGCGGAGTTCCCATGTAGTGGAGTCTTGTCAATAGTACGAGGGCGGCACTGAAAATTTCGGGAATTAACGAAGTGACACAACATTACTATTTAAAAATGTATTTATTGCTTTTCGAAGTATTCTCCGCGAAATTTGACACATTTTTCCATACGATGGAATCAATCATTGAAGCAACCATACCATTCGGAAGTCGGGGTCTCCAAAATGGCCGTTTTGTAGGCGTCCACAGCTTCTTCAGGTGATGAAAATCTCTGTCCACGGAATTTATTCTTTATTTTAGGGAAAGTATAGGAATAATTAGGGCTTAGGTCGGGGCTGTACGGCGGATGGTCTAATAATTCTATGTGTTCTTTCTCTAAAAACTGTTTTGTTCTGTGCGCGGTGTGAGAACTCGCATTGTCGTGATGGAGAATGATGCGGCGGTTGCAGTTCTCTTTACGGAGTTCAGAAACGACCTGTGGCAAACAAATGCTAGCATACCATTCTGCATTAACCGTTCTTTGTCCCTCAAGAGGAATAGTCGTAACATGGCCGGTTTTGGAGACAAACGTGGCCACCATTTTTTTTGCAACACTCCGTGAACGAACAATTTTTGTTGGCTTTAACTCATTTTCGAACACCCAAACTCGTGACTGGTTTTTTGTTTCGGGTTCGTACGCGTATATCCAGGATTCGTCACCTGATACAATGTTGTATACAGCATTTGAGGATCCTGCGTGGAATCTTTCGAGAGTTCTGACGCACCAAGTAACGCGAGCCGCTTTTTGCTCTTCACAGAGCGAATGCGGTATCCATCGGGAAAACAACTTTTTTACACCTAATTGTTCATGCAAGATTATTTGTATTTGACTCATGCCAATGTCTAAAGTTGCCTGAATTTCGCGGTATGTCACATGTCGATCTTCCTCAATCAGCTTACGCACAGCATCAACGTTTTCTTGGGTGACTGCAGTTTTTGGACGACCTTGACGGGGATCATCACTGAGCTTGACACGTCCACGTTGAAACTCAGCAAACCAGCGATAAATTGTGGTTTTGGATGGGGCTTCATCACCAAATGTAGAAATCATCCGGTCAACACACTGTTTTTGTGTTAAACCACTTCGAAAGTCATAATAAATCATCGCTCTTGAATTTTCTCGAGTCAATTCCATTTTCTCAACGACTAAACAAGTTTGACAAAACATCGTGACAAGACCGAGAATCTTTTTTAAAATAAATAAATGGTATTCGATTTTTAAAACCAAGGAGTTTTCAATTAAAAAGATTTTAATATGACAGGAACAGTGGAAATATTCCATTCCCGATACTTTTAGTGCAGCCTAGTATTAGACAATAGACAATAAGAGTTACGAAGTACCACCCCAGCTGTAACTTTACATTAAAATTAAAGATAATCCCGTAGTATGCAGTTAATATAATAGCCTCCCGTTAGACCGCCCCAGACGGTGCCGCTGGTGTCCCGGAACACTCCGCTGGATTAGAACCAGCCTGCCGAGTGCAGATGCTTGAGGGAAAAGTTCAAGGAAATTATAATTTTAACTTTGGCATCACTTAATATACTTACGTATTACTTTGCCGAGATATTGAATACGTAAAACAAGCAAATCTTAAGCACATAGAGCAGCGGTCGGGGAACCGGGGTAAATTACCTCAAATGGGGTAAAATGATATTTTGGGGGGTAAAAATAAAACTTTTGTGAGTAAAAAGTATATATTGAAGTGAAACTTCTTTAGAATCGTTGCGATTTCAAACTCGATGAAACGAAATGAAATGAAATTAAAATATTATATTTTTTTCAAAACTATCACGGGGGTTGTAATATGAAAGATGCTGAAAAGAAGCGATTTCGTTTTTTTTTTTGTTCTTTGCCATGGGGTAATAAACTTACACAAAAATATTTTGGGGTAATAATTAAAAAAGTTCCCGACCGCTGACATTGAGCCATCTATGTGCCTGTTATAATTAAATCCTACAAGCTTCGATCATCAATGTTACTATTGTTGATCGAAGCCTACAAGACGTTTAATTTTTACCTACATAATAATATGTACTAGTTACATTTAATGATCCGCGCCACATCGTTTATTTTGTAATTTTCTATAAATATAGCATTGTAAATGTGTGTGAACTGAAAACCAGTAACGGTAATTAGAAATCAGACCAGTCCGCTGAGTTTGTTTTGCAGGTTCTTCTCAGGGCTGTGGCTTTTTGTTTCAATGATGGTAGAGATAACAGGCTTAGAGGCTTAGACATTCCAAAAATATGTTTTGATGTCGTTAAGTTGAAACAACTAATTGGAATTAGATTAAATTGTTGAGTAGATGTGACTTTGTTTATTTTTTACAATTGCTGTCGGAAACCGAAACATGAATAATATCGGAAAATGTACTTAATAACGGACGATGCATTTTCGATTCCACTTCGCAGACACGGTCGGATTGATCCTAATGAAGCTTTAGAATACAATGATCCATTTTATTTCCGCGATCCTAAAAGGAGTAATAAACACGTAGCCATAGCTTAGTTTGAACTCATGAAGTAATGGTTCATGGAAGGCGATAATATGTACTATCACGTTATTAAGCTTAAAGTAAATTATCAGTAATTTGGCCGATCGAAGATCGAAGATCCTCCATAAGTTTCTAGTCGCGAAAAATAGATGTATCTATTACTCCTACTTAAAATCTATTAAAAATAAATTTGATTAATAAATATTAATATTTTATTTTGTAGTTTCTCAAGCCAATTTTAATGCTAATTGTAAATAGCTATAGTACGATTTCACTTTAAAAATTCAATTTAAAATGTGACACCAATGAAAAACCTACGGGGCTATGTGTTTTATTGCTTAAATTTATATTCACCATTTATTTCCGGACGTTGCGTTTTACATATTTGTGATGTATGTGTTTGTTTTTTCTAGTGGCATGGCGGCGTGTCTGGGGGTGATGGTCGCGAGGGCCAGCGCTCTGGGCGGAGTCAATATATTAGGAGCCTTCATGTTGTCACACTGCTCCATAACATTCTACGGTTGTGCCGCTATGCTGTTTTGTGAGTATTCTCGAGTGACGTGTTAATGCCGCATACCCATTTAATTAATATATACCTACTGATTTAGATATGTATTTTATGCCTAGGGATTCATGCCGATTCTTCTCGGCGGTAAAACTATATTTTGTGAATCATATGTGTGAATCTTAGCCAAAGTCATGAACAAATTGATATGTTTGAAATGAAATTATAAGTTGCGTAATTACTGGTGGTAGGACCTCTTGTGAGTCCGCGCGGGTAGGTACCACCGTCCTGCCTATTTCTGCCGTGAAGCAGTAATGCGTTTCGGTTTGAAGGGTGGGGCAGCCGTTGTAACTAAACTTGAGACCTTAGAACTTATATCTCAAGGTGGGTGGCGCATTTACGTTGTGGATGTCTATGGGCTCCAGTAACCACTTAACATCAGGTGGGCTGTGAGCTCGTCCGCCCATCTAATCAATAAAAAAAAAAAAAACAAACTAAACTTATACTTTTATCTTAAAAATCTAATCTAACAGCTATAAATGTTTTTGTCGTCATTTAAATTCATTAGCGTCTTCAACGAGCTAGCGGAGACTTTATTTTTGCAATATTTCAATGGACAAAAAAAAACCAGTTACGTTTCAATTGTTACGCAAGTATGTAGGTATTATTATTAATGTAGAAGTTTTGCTAAATTAAAAATTAACGTCATTATTTTTTGCGACATGTTCATGGTTATATTATTAAGGTATTTTCAATCTCGGTACCTAATTAATTATTATATTATACTTGTACTTATACTTGTATTATTTGTTATTATTATTATACTTGTATTATTTAATTATGTATATATATTGTACTTAGATAATAAGATTTTTTTATTCGTTTATCAAATTAAAAATTTACAAACACGTAATATTTCGTTTGATATATTTTTTTATAGCTTAGATGGTTGGACGAGCTCGCAGCCCACCTGATGTTAAGAGGTTACTGGAGCCCATAGACTACTACAACGTAAATGCGCCACCCACCTTGAGATATAAGTTCTAAGGTCTCAGTATAGTTACAACGGTTGTCCCGCCCTTCAAACCGAAACGCATTACTGCTTCACGGCAGAAATAGGCAAGGCGGTGGTACCTACCAGTCCGGACTCACAAGAGGTCCTACTATCAGTAATTACGCAAATAATAATTTTTCGGGTTTGATTTTTATTACACGATGTTATTCCTTCACCGTGGAAGTCAATCGTGAACATTTGTTAAGTACGTATTTCATTAGAAATATTGGTACCCGCCATCGGTGAATCGCTAGATACGAATGCACCGGACGTTTTATCCTTTAGGCCACGACGACTTGATATTTACAAATAGTCTGAGTTTTGAGTTAACAAGGTAGTTAGTAGCACAGGGGTAGCTCGCTGGTATTACAGACTGGAGTTACAAACCTCAGTAGTCTGTTACTACTGCACTGTTACTAATGTTACAGCCGGACCGCGAACACCAAAAGTTCGACCAATTATCTTGGACGCTTTGATATAACATCTAGTTAGTTAATGAACACGTGACCGAATCATCAGACAAATGTCAAACTATTTATTAACAATAACGAATCAAATAATTTAAGGTTTTAACGAATTAAAATTGTCACCGTTTAAGGTATTGTTTGAACAATCAACAATCAACTTAAAGTTAAGTAATTGAGGTAAACAAAATTAAACACTTGTCTATATCGACTGAAGGACTGACTTTTTTCTGGAAGCTTGGTAGTCTCTCCCATTCCACCCGCATACGTGCCCCCCAAAGACCCACAAGGGGTAACAAATGCGGATGTACGCGTTATAAGGTTTTATTTCTGACAACTGTTTTTACAGCTGGTTGAGTGTAGTTAGAGGACGAGTAGTCGATATACTAATGTTCTGAAGGTATTGACGCTTCTCAAACTGTTGCCATCACGTCTCCTTCGAGTCCGTAATGGGTATTTCCAATAATTTCTCGTCGGTATTAAAAACAGCTGTATAAAATGCAGCATATTTTTGGCCACAAGCAAAACTTGGGCGTAGAATTATTGACTAGCCGACTTCGTGCGTCAAAGTTAGGAACGGTATTTCATTACGTTTTTTAATAATTTCAGAAGCTTTGTTATATATCTTAAGTTCAATTTAAAAATTTGATAATCTTAATATATATAAATCACGGGTCACGTTGTTTGTCCGCCATGGATTCCTAAACTACTTAACCGATTTTAAATTAATTTGCACACCGTGTGCAGTTTGATCCAACTTGAAAGATAAGATGGTTTTATTTCGACTAATGGTCGCAATATTTATTAATTAACAATAAAATGATTTCTTATGTTCATTTTTGTTATTAATTGTAAGTTTCATAAGTCTAAAACAGATGGCGCTTTAAATCAGTTTTTACAGACAATTGTAATACTGTCTGACATTAATATCTCATAGATGGCGCTGTGTTAAAAATACCAACGTTTCACATAAGCTACAATTTATTGGCATAAACACCACGTGTTGCTGAGGCTAAAGTATAAGTGAAACTTATTTCGTAGTAAACGCAATACAGTGAAATCCAATTGTTCTTACTTTGTCAATTTTTGGTATTAGCATAGCCGGCCGCGTGTTATTTAGAAACAAAAACCTTAGCCACAGCAACGTGTGGCCGGGTCTGCTAGTTATATAATAAATCGTCGACCTTATTACGTCAATTGTAATGGAAATTCGTACTGTTCAGACGTAACTATTTCTATTGATTGTTTCTTTTCTTTTTTCAGGTGCCATCTTAGTCACCAGCATGCTGCCTCCAGACAAGAGAAAGAAAGAAATAGGGCTGTGAAGAGATTCAGTGGTAATTAATTATGTTGCGCGCTTTGAAGCTAGTCGGATCGACATTATTGTGTATACTACGTTAGGATAGTGATAATTAGATTAGTTTTAGTTACTAAAAGTTATTAAAGTATATTTTTTCTATTTAAATTGGTTTTATTTACTTAACAACCCAAGTATTCTCTGCTTAGCAGCGACTTATCATCTGACCGAGATAATTATAGTTTTCGAACAAAACTGTAACCAACTGAAGAGGATAGTTGGATTGTTATAATTAAAAACTCGAAATAACGCCTTTTTAGCCTATGAGGCTATTCCAGCTACGCTGTGACTGGTAGTTGAGCTTACGGGGCTCAATCTGAGAGACTGTACTGGCACTGGCCCTAGCAAAAGCAGTGCATTGCAGAATGTACCACCGGATCGGAATCGCGACCCACTGAGAACATCCGGTGAGAAACTCAATGGGTGGTTTCTATGGGTTAGTTTACATGCTGATCTCTTCACTCAAAGCACCGAGAGCGGATCTGGGGGATCTGACAAGACATGTTTCCGGCGACGGCATCTTATTGTGTAGCTCCGCTTTGTCGAAGTAGCGTTCTGACAGTACCTTAAGGTACTTACGTATCGGTACTTAATTTAGATCCTCGTAAAGGCATTGTCGGCATTGGGTGACTTGGAGAGAGCTTTTGTGTATGCTGGCCTCGTGATTGAACACTACACTTGTATAGGCATGAAGGAGCGTAAGCAAGTTTTGTAGAGTGTCACCTTGTTACGAAATGGTGCACTCGTATCGAGCGATGCTACTATGCCGAAGTTCAAGGCACTTAATTTATTTTCTAATGTCAAAAAGTAAACGAAGTGGTAGAACAAAAAGACGTAGGAGAAGCGGTTTAGGGTATTTCGTGTCGGAATCGAATGGAATATGGAAAAACTAATCTGTGTAAACGTGTGATGAACTCAGCTGTTTAAAATAGGAGCTCTACACTAGTGGAGCGTAGAGGGTGGTGCCATGAGAAAGTGGAGATGACGAGACCCTTGCAAACAGCTCTTTAGATCACACCGCGTGGAACCTACCGTATAAAATACATTCGAAGTTGTAATTGTATTTCAAACCGAAGGCATGACTACTTTGTAGCATAAGTGGACAACGCCCTGGCAGCAGCCGAATCAGGTAAAATTTTGGTAAACATAATAATTAAAACTAGTTTCTTCTTGTATTTGTTCTTATTAATTTTATCCTATGTTATGAAAAAAAAAACGTGTCCAGACAAACAAGTCAGATCTGCGATTTTTCAACAACAGAAAATACGGAAGAAACACTTGGTACAAAAACAAAACAAATGCTTCTGAAACACAAAAAATAAAATGGTATTTAAAATTTATTACTGGAATTTTGCACCAGGTAGATGAACGTCCTCACGGTTCACCTAAACTAAGGTGGTTACCGGAGCAAAAAGACATCGCAGCGTGAATTCCTCCACCCACACTACCTTTTTTTCACTACTTTACCTTACTTTTTTTTGTTTATTACCCTTGTAGCGGGCTAGTGGCCCACTTGATGGTGAGTTACCGTCGCCCATGGACTTCAGCGATGTCAGGGGCAGAGCCAAGCCACTGTTTACCGTTGAGCACTTTCCACAAGTTTCGTTTGAAGAACGACATGTCACAGTGCTCGTTTTTTCCTACCTACGCTGATGGCTTAGAGAGACCATATCAGTGTCACAGGGCTAGTAGGTGAGCTCATGGGGCTCAAATCTGACGTTGTTGCTAACACGAACTCTAGCAAGAGCCGTGCTTCGTAGAATCTACCACCGAATCGTCGTGGCCTAAAGGATAAGACGTCCGGTGCATTCGTATATAGCGATGCAACGGTGTTCGAATCCCGCAGGCGGGTACCAATTTTTCTAATGAAATACGTACTTAACAATTGTTCACGATTGACTTCCACTGTGAAGGAATAACATCGTGTAATAAAACCAAACCCGCAAAATTATAATTTGCGTAATCACTGGTGGTAGGACCTCTTGTGAGTCCGCACGGGTAGGTACCACCGCCCCGCCTATTTCTGCCGTGAAGCAGTAATGCGTTTCGGTTTGAAGGGTGTGGCAGCCATTGTAACTATACTGAGACCTTAGAACTTATACCTCAAGGTATGTGGCGCGTTTACGTCGTAGATGTCTATGGGTTCCAGTAACCACTTAACACCAGGTGGACTGTGAGCTCGTCCACACATCTAGGCAATAAATAAATACATAAATAAAAAAGAAGAATCGGAAACGCGATTCACTGAGAAGATCCGGCAAGAAACTCAGTGGGTTACTGTGTCTATGGGTTAATGTACTCGCGGAGCCCTTCGTCGCAAGCGACGGGTTCGACGAGAACGATGACCGGTGCTTGGGGTAGCTAAAATCACCGTTAATGGGTCGGGAGGATCCGAGATGACGTGTTTTTTTTGCGACGTCGACTGTGTACCATTCGGTCCACAGGATCAGCTATGTAGTAACCGGTCACAGTGCTCGGGAAACCCCGCGAGCGGAGCTCATTCCGAAGCCGGATGGTACGTTGCAAAAAAGGTCTGTGGAAACGCACTGTGAATGAACGCAGTGGCTCCAGGTAGTATGGATGAACTCTATTCTAGTGGCGGCCGGTGCGATGGCAAAAACGAGATGATGGGATCATCCCAAACAATTCCTCAGACCAGTCCCCACTTACTTCACTCCATGAAGTCGAAATTTTAATGCTCTTGGATGATAGTAATATAAATAAAATAGTAATGTATGATTCTCTGGCTACAGAAAGAGCCAAGATGATTACCCGTGCAGACTTATAGTCCGCCGTATCAACAGGAATTATGAATATACTAGGAAATTAGGAAAATTATAAAAAATAGGTATTTGTGGGCTTCATTTTATTATACGATGTTATCCCTTCATCGTGGAAATCAATCGTGAGCATGTATTAAGTACCTATTTCGTTAGATAAATTGGTACCCACCTGCGGGATACCAGCGCCGGCATAGCTACATTACTTGATACGAATGAACTGGGCTTGCTATGTTTGAAGCCATGATAGCTTCAGTTTTGAACATTCAATATTTTTCGTAAATAATTAATCTGAATGAAGAGATTTAGATCTATGTTGTGATTATTAATTTATGCTTTTTTTGTTTAATACTAAATTAATTTTTAATGACTTAAAGAATATATTATTTTTCTATTGTTTTAATTAAATTTAATTGAATGCTTTGTCGTTCAGCTATAAGATAGTTCTAAATAGAAGGCGAAAGAGCATCGAACTTACCTGACGGTGAGTGGACCCCGTAGGTGACGTCCGACATTACTGAGCGGGACTCAGCCGTCTGTCAGATCGACGGACAACGAGAAAGGATATTCAGGACATGTTATGATAAATAGCCACCAAGAACATCCGAGTTATGTATAATAGATTGTTTCACAACATAACAGTTTGACACGGCGGTCGAAATACATGTGTTGTGAAAAAAATAATTTTTTTATCAATTGTTTTTAATTGTTTTAAGTGAAACTGAACTCTTTTTTAATTTGTATAAAATAAGACAGTTTTCATTATTTCTAGTTTATTTTTGAATGTAAGTACATATACTCGTTTTAGTTATTTATTCTCATTTTTTATTTTCAATATTCTAGTTATTTTCATTTTTTATTTATGAATCCAAGACATCATTGGCTGTTTATTGATTTTAGGTCCGTACACGAGATGTTTTGTAAGATAGCTCAGCCAAAATGTTATTTCCCAAAGATTTACTTTAATTAAATCTATTTTAAACAAAATAATCATACTTTCGCGACTCAAAATAAAGAAATATTTCACAATTTTCGTGTCAAACAGTCCAAAAAAATATTTTATTTTAAATTGTTAAATTAATTATTAAAAATTTTAACTGTTGACCTTTTAACTGTTCAGATATTTTGTTTTATTTTATTTTATAATGTTTTATACGAATCTTCAGTAAAGCGGATTTCATATAGTCGTGGCCTAAAGGATAAGACGTCCGGTGCATTCGTATCTCTAGCGATGCAATGGTGTTCGAATCCCGTAGGCGGGTACCAATTTTTTTATTCCTCTATTTTAAAAACTTTCTCTTTGATTTATTTGTGTTTAATTTTTCCTGTTACATCTGATGAGAAATTCAGAGGCTTCGTCATCTCACGTGGTGGCGACATCAACTGGCCACTGAGATCGTCTGACTTAACACCACAGCCCACTGAGTTTCTCACCGGATCTTCTCAGTGTGTCGCGTTTCCGATCCGGTGGTAGATTCTGCGAAGCACTGCACTTGCTAGGGCCAGTGTTAGCAACACTCCGATTTGAGCCCCGTGAGCTCACCTACACGTCAAGGAGAAGCTGAAATAGCCTCTTAAGGCTATCAGCATAGGTAGGAAAAAAGCGTGTCTGAAGTTGGCGGTAGCGAAAGCCTTAGACTTCAATTCGTGAATGCCGGTCGCCGATGCCGATCGAAAAATCGACTGCTAGTCTATAGATATTTTTATTCCGAGAATATGCATCGTGTTTCAACCTCTCTGAATTAAAAAATCAACGCAGGCGAAACCGCGCAGCATGTCTAGCTGAGTTATTCATTATTTCAAGCAGAATTTTTTTTGCCATATAGCAGTTGACTGTCAGAATAATATATAATATAATTTGATCTCATTCTTTTGTTCTATTTTATGGCAATTTTTTAAAATATTTATACAACATACATTAATTAAACTGTTAATAAAATTTAATTACTTCAAAGTTTTCGCGTTTTCAATGTTTTATGATACAAAGCTCCGACTTGTTGATGTTTTTGAAAAAAAAAGGGTTTTATTGTATTTGAACAATTGAACTCACGACCCGTCAATTGTTAAGTGATGACTATGTGATGTAGAAATAACATCGTATAACAAAAATAAACCCCCGCGACTTATTTCGTATAACTAGGAATCCGCATAAAAACCAAAATTTCTTATTTCAGATTTGACTGAGACCTGATCAAAGGGCATCATTGAACAACGATGAAGAACGGAAGTAAGTATCAGATCAAGATCATCAGATCAGGCACATAAAAGAGCTCAAGAATTGAGTCAAGAATCTAATTGAGAGGCTTTTCTCACGCGCCTCATTCAGGAAGCGTGTGAGGATCTTATATGATGACCTCGTGTCGAATCATTAACAAGATCTGCATTCAACGATGCCGACACATCATCTAGTCAGTACTTGTTTTGTAGAAGAATCTCGTGAGAGATTTGTGCTTGTGCTAAAAAAAGTTCTAAAAACCCTATTTTTTGACACAGGCCCGAATCTCCTATTGCCTCTATGGAGTGGGTGCGTTCCCTGGAACTGGCGAAGGCATTCCTTAAAGAACTCTCTTACGCTCTCATCTAAATGTCCGAGCTTCACCCGGGTCAGAACCCGGTGAAAATAGGAGGGGTCATCGCGGTCAAAACAAAATCTACGTAATAAAAAAAATACTGCAACCAAACACGTGTACACATAGGCATCGCCTTGAACGACCTTGAGATATGAGGTCTAAGTCTTAATTTTATAGTAACTAACGGCTGGCCCACCGGAACACGCGTCGCGGCAGGTGTGGGCAGAACAGTGGTATCTACCCGTGTAGGCATACAGGAGGCCCTACCACCAGTAAACACTCCACAGCCAGATATTTATTTATTTTTTATTATCCATGACACTTGAGATAAAATTTACATTAGCGGACTTAATGCCTAAGATATTCTCTACCAGTCAATCAAAGGTAGTGCAAAATAAAAAGGGAGTTAAAAGTATTATCATGTTTGGCAACAGCAACCATGTGTTTCATAATTATAAATATCCCGCAGATTATTAATCATCTTAATAAAAATTGTAATTTTGTTTTGGTTCATTCAGTATATATATTTTGTTACAGAGAACCCGCTTCCGGGCTTAGTCCTGGGCTTGATGAGTATCGGTGTATCAATTACGTTAATGTTCTTCGATCCAGTAATACCTATTACATTATTTGTGAGTATTTCTTCTGCTTAGAAGTTTTACAGTTGACGACCTCAAAGTTCGGCCGCGTGTTCATTTCTTTAGCATTTGATGAGGTATTAAAACATGTAATCGGCTTTGAAACAATATCCCCGATTGTACATTGTTCTAAAGTTATAGTTTCGTCCGCTAAAACCATCTATGTTGTTTGTTTATTGAGCTTTGCGGACAAACGAATACACTATTTTGGTGATATTTGGTGTTTTGGGTGGATTTTAAGATCGCGCGACTTGGCGGCCATGATATTTTGTTTTTCCCTGCATTCAAAGCTGATTTACAGGGAAATGCAATCAGATAGCATTGTCTATTGACAGGCTAAATATTGAAAATTTATAATGTTATTTGAATTCTCGACTTTTTCCTGTTATCATTCTAACGCATAGCTGGAACGCTTGTGATTATAATAAAATTGCGAATCCAAACGTATTGTTAGCGCAGTTATTTCGCGTGCCAATCCAGTGTGCGACCGATATTCCAATGTGCTTTAGACTTCTAGCCATAATCTTAAGTTCGTTATCCACTTAACTACGGGTGGGCCGACAGCTCGTCTGGCCATACTGGTAACAATATTTTTTTGATCACAACAATTTTGACCGTTCCAAGTTCATGCGTAGGTATCCAACAATAGAAAATAATATCCAACATTAGACAATAATTTTTAAATAACGAAGTCAAATCATTATTTGAATCTGCCAACAAACCTGTTTTTTTTTTCAATATTTTAATTGGCTATGCGAGTGAGAGTTTTATTTTTATTTTATGAATTTATTCACACGACTCTCGACGTAATATTTTATTATAATATTTTATTGCAATATTATAATTAAGTTGAGCCGACAAGGGTAAAATGAAAACAAATATATATCTGACATGGATTACTTCTGGACTTCTCGGATCGCCTGGTGTAAAACTGTTGTACATAAAAAGTAAGAACTGGGGTCGTTTGAGCACAAATGAGCACCGTTTCTACATCTTCAGTTTTTAATAATCCTTATCTATTGTCTTTATCATATGTTTAAATTCATTATATTTTTTTTATTAATTCATTGTATGTTTGTCTTCATTATGTGTTTAAAATCTAGTGCTATTTTATTAAGAGTCATTGAACTAATTTATCTTTGAGATTTTGCATACCTAATCGACAAGGCTAGAAATTTTAGAGGTTGGAAGTTGAATTGGAGTTTGTAGGTATGATACATTGAAATATGAACCGGAGTTGTTCCCATTATAATGTTCTTAGTGAAAGTATTACAGGCTTATAGTTAACATACATTTTTATCAGTTGATTCTCGTTCACGGCAGTGAAAATTAATTCCGGATCTCCTAGTTAATATATAAAGATTACGTCAGTCAAAATAGAATTCCTACTGGTAATATTATATTCATTATTAATCGTTTAGCGACTAAACAGTTAACCTTAGCTTACCTACTACCGAACCATAAATCTGAATCTGTTTTTTTTAAATTTGCATATTGCGTATTCGGTAATTTGCTATTATTTAGTAATCATGAGTCTTGCGGTGATTGACGTCATTGTCGTCATATCAAGTTCTGGGCATTTTGGACGATACGGGTTCTAATCGCGTTAGTAATCATGCGAGAACTCGTGGTTACTCACTCCAGTAGCTCAACTCCAGAGACTGGAGGCTCTATTCCATTCATAGACGAGCGTCTTACCTTCCGAACCGGAATCCATATGCAAGGCGAAGGTACCTTAGGCGAAGGCGTCCTTCTATCATTACTCAAGAACCAGGGGGAAGGTAAGGATAATGGGTGTATGATAGTAGGGGATTTGCCCCATCTACTCAATAGAAAAAAATATTACTATCATAGACGGCAATTGGCAATCATTGTCGCTAACACAAAAAGAAGTTTGATTTTTTAAATATTCAGTTTTATTCATTCATGTAGTTTTGCTAGTTTTAGTCCCTGGCACGTCTTATTGGCGGAGCTATCCGGATTTGACTAAACACAATACCATATGATCTGTCTTGCTTCCAGTATTCCCGAGCAGCCAATGGTACGCTTACTCACAACGCCATGATGGAAGTTATAGAAGGTATACACATATCGGCGTACCTGTTCAACATTACCAACGCCGAGGAGTTCACGTCCGGAGAGCATGATAAGCTGAAAGTGCAAGAAGTCGGGCCGTTTACTTATAGGTGTGTTTGTTTATTCACTTTCTGTTACGGGTTGTGGAACGTGCCGTAGAGAGGTAGATACCATCATGCAGTGGCGGATTAAAGGTCCAGAGCGCCCTAGGCAATTACTTTATTGGCCCCCCTGTACCGACCATAAATGGTCATCATAATACTATAAATTTTAACTAGTTTTTGCAATTACGATGACGTTGTATCATCAAACCGTAGACTTTAGTAGACCAGGACCCTTGTACTTACGCTAATGCGCGAATGAAGTTAATTCTTAATCGTTAATTTAAAAATTTAGAGCTCGCGCGCCCCTTGTAACTTACACGCCCCTAGGCACATGCCTAGTTTGCCTTACGGATAATCCGCCTCTGCCATCATGTTATTACTTGCAACCATTCATCATTTTGCGTCATAAAACGTAGTCTATTTAATAAGAAGGTATGTATTTTAATAATTCCAATGTCATAAGCACAATCCAACGTGCTACGGAAATACGTATAGATTTGTATGCAGATTGAACTTGTTATTTTCCCTATGAATTTATTAAAGAGTTGTACCTACCAATGATGGTAGGCTGCATGGCTAGCAGCAAGGTAGCCTAATCAATTAAGTACATAGGTTGACTCTGGCTGCAATGATTCTAAATAGTGTAAAACTGGCGCTGTTCTACTCACGGATAAGTGTTGTCCTTCTTGTGCGAATTAAATACGTAGTCAACATCTGTTCACGGATGATTTTCGCACTGAAGGAATAACATCGTGTAACAATAAAATAAAAACTATTATACATGTTCGTAATTACTAGTGGTAGGGCACACTGCCCGCACGGAATGATACCACCATTCTTACCATTTTTTATCGCGGTGTGGTTGTGATTTATAGAATGGGAAAGCTGTTGTTAAATAAAAGATATGTTGGGATTATATAACAAAGCTCCGGTAACCACTTAGGACCGGGTGGGCCACGAGCTCGTTCATTTACATAAACAGTAAGTGGTCTCCTTCTTAATTTCGATCAGTAATTACGCAGTTTTCTAGAAATAAAAAAACCATTTGTCGCAGCTGACTAAGACGTCTTGGTATCGCGAATTTTGATAATCGAGTTTTTGTTAATATAGAATTATTCATTAGGAATTTTATTGATTAACTACGTTTTCTATTGAGCTATGAATCTTGTTATTTAAATACTAGTTTTGCGATGCGTCCCTGAATTATGATAGATGTGCTTTTTTTTGCATCTTCATATTATTATATTTTAAAAGTTATTTTTCGATTTAATCTCACGCTTTTTTTGCTATGATCATTTTATTGTGTTTGCAAAATTTCGTATACTCTACAGTTTCCGTGGTCACACGGGCGACCAAGGTGTTATTCTTCGACATATAAACATTACCTAACTACCTATTTAACTACGAGAAATATAGAAAAATAGACGGCAGTTAGCACAATATTCCAATGTCCACGAATAATCCTTTTTTTTAGTCATCCGTGACCCAAGAGCTGTAATATATTCGAAAAGACAGCATTAATATACTCTAGATTAAAAGTTAAAAGTAATTTTAATTCTGTCTAGTACTCGCAGATATCAAAGAAAATATGAAAATATTTCATACAATATATTTTTTTGGTGAGTCCACACGGGTACCACCACCCTGCCTAACTAGGCGCTTAACACCAGGTGGGCTGTGAGCTCGTCCTACCATCTAAGCAATAAATAAAAATCAAAAGTTTTAGTGAAAACCCCATTCAGTTCCGTTCAGCTCACAAAATTTAGACGAACAATATAAATACAGACTTGTCTTTGTCTTTCCATCCAAGTAACATGGCGGCTGTGTTTGTTACAGTAAAACGTAGCTAGTCGTTTGTTAGACTTACTAATTGACAGGAATCTAGTATTAACTAATTAGTCTACCTTGAAATCAAGCCAGCCTTGTACTATATATGTATTATAAAAGGTTGTAATTTGAATTTAATCTGTATTATTAATTGTCGTAACCGGAAAGCACAAAAAACTGTTTGTATTACGGAATTAGGATTCACTTGCATGTGCTTCTGACACACACACATTTAAGATACACTGCACACATATAGTACATATATGTTGACAGCAATAAACTTAAGTAGTATCTCTTAGACAAACTTGATATTGTTTTAGTATTAACAATACTTTACAAATTATCAGTAGGCTTCCTTCCTTGAGAAAAAAGAAGATATCCTAGCTTGGAGTTGATGAATGGCACTGGTTCTTAACTTTCGTTTCTATGCACTGTTGAATGGGCGACGAAGAGACTGCTTAGTTTGTCATGCGCTGCCCGGGGTGGCTGGATTCTTCTATTACCTTCTCTCTCTAAATTATTTTCACCCACCTGGAACGTCTGCCCGTATATATTCTTGGGCAACTTGAAGCGGGCAGCCCCTTACGACGATTGGACCCATCCTGATGTCACTATTGAACATCAATTTAGTTTATTCATGTTTATCCCAAATACGGAATTACGAAATGTTGAATGATGGGTATATAAAGGTAATGTTTACTCACTTAGTCACGATATTGTAATGTACATTTGATTGTTGTGTTAATTACACAATAGGTTTCCGTATAAGTATGTTGTATATATTAGGGATCCGAAACAACTGTTTAATTACTTTGATATATTAATTTGTAGCTTGTTTGTCTCGTTTGACGTCATTTCTGCTGGCGTAGGTACACAGGTAGACACGATTACAACACACCACGAATTAAGCGGTTAATAAATCAACATAGAAATGCCATAAGCCACCTTAAAACATAAGCTCCAAGGCTCAATTTTATTGCATCAACTGATGCTTCATCTGTCAAATATCAACGCACGATTCATTGGTGATAGGCACATGCAAGGGCTCGCAATACGTCTAGCTTCAAGTAAAACCATCACCTTTGGTTGACTGGTAGAATACGCCTTAGACATTATATCCGCCAACGTTTCCAAATACATTAAGATAAATACAAAAAATAAAAATCTTAAACCAATTATTTTATTATCATTCACTTCTTCTCTTTCAGTGAGGTTCGAACGAATAAAAACTTTGTGATAGATGAAGAAGCTGAAGAAATGAGGTATACTCCTCGAATTGATGTGAACTTCATACCCGAGGCGTCTGTGGGAAGGCCTGAAGATATAGATGTCACGTTGGCGAATATCGCAATGTTGGTGAGTATCTAAATAATATAATGTTCGGTTACTTCGGTCTCATATTGTGTGAATTTCCCTGTGAATTTGACCATTTCCAAAGGGCTTCTGATTTTCGTTCAGACAATATTCTGGATAAGTATGTTTGTTAAATAATCAGATATAGCATACAGTACCATCATTTGAGCCTAAAATGTCTGAACCAGTGCGAAGTAACGTGCAGGTGCGTTATACATAAAAAAATCATTTAAATTATAACCATAACATAAAATAGGCCGAAAACCGAATCAACTCGTGAATACAACTTTAGTTACTGTAAATTTGACTTTTAAAATTATAATAGCAACGCTCATTTGCAGACTTTTCAAGTTTTGATTCTTACATTTCACAACAGAACCTTAAAAGATTTTTTTTACATTCTAATGCAGTTTTTCTGTTAATTTTTCCCTAATGATTAGATAGTAAGCGTTTTGGATCAATTTTATAAACTCATACTCATTCCTGAAAAATAGTACATAATTTGCGCATGAAAATGCCCTATTCGAATACTTCAATCATGGGTTTCCCATTTCTTGCCTTTAATATGGAAATGATTTCGTGAGAATGCTGATGGTAAAGTGGGTAAGACCGGTAAAGCCTTTAGAATGAATATTCACATTCTCCTTCCAGAGCATAGCCTCCAAAGTGGGAGCCTACTCCTACTTTCCTCAACTAGCCTTCAACCTTCTGGCATCGCAACTGAACTCCAAGCCTGTAGTAACGATGAGAGCAAAGGACTACCTCTGGGGCTACGACGAGCCTCTTATAAGATTAGGGCATAATATTATACCAGGGATAATAAACTTCGATACATTGGGAATTTTGGATAGGGTAAGAAAATAACTTTTTTTTTGGTGCTAGCTGCACCAGGTGATAAATGATAAAAATACGTTTTGGATATCATATAACGAGCCTTTTGAAAAATGCTGAACGTAATATCAGTCACTTATAATATCCTATAATATATTATAGGAATTAACCCTACAGTAGGTAGAAACGTTATCCAGCATTATCCTCTAATTTGTCCCATAGGCTCTTACTTTATTATTATTCTGCGTCTTATACAATTTCTCCTGTGCCATTGTCTTCGCATCAGAACCTTTCACTCATCCTCTTATTTCATATCGTATTTTATGATTTTCCAGCTTTATGATAAAAAAGCGGTCTATGACTATGTGGTGAGCGCTAAAAACTCAGACAAGTTTGCCATTAAGTCTGTAAATGGAATTGAAGGTCTTGAAATGTGGAATTACGAAAATCCCAAGAAAAGGTACTTCTCTTCTACAAATGTCATTAATACATTACAGATCGAAAATAAGGTATTAAGAGTGACTTCCCAAAAACATCGAGAAAGGGATTTCATTCTAAGCCTACTGGTATATTTTCTTATTTTTTATTGCCTAGTTGGGTGGGTTCAGATGTTAAATGGTAGCCAGAGCCCATAGACATCATCTACCACCCATCATGAGACATCGGTTCTCAAGCGAAGTGTCAGTTTTATAATACAACCGCTGCCCCATCCATCAAACGGATTGCTGCTTCACGACAGAAATAAGTATCGTCATGTATCCAATTTTTTTGCTACCTATTCTCTAACTGATGACGTTGCTAACACTAGACCTAGCAAGAGCAGTGCTTCACAGAATCAGTCGGGGTCACCATCGTAGCTAAAGATGTTTCGAATATTTCATATCCTAATATTTGGAGTGTTCCAGTATTTGGAATATTCCAAACAAATTCTTCACATTCTAATCAAAATATATGTGAAAACTGTATTATTTCATCTGAAATTTAAGGTCCAAATGCAACTCATTTATAGACGCATATGAAGGTATCAACTACCCCACAATGATGACCTCAGAAACACCTATAAGAATATACAGAAGTATTCTCTGTCGAATTCTGGAATTGGATTATTTTGACACGATAACAACTGACTATGGAGCCAAGGGTCTGGTCTACCGAATTAGTAACAGAACGTATACGACAAATAACGATACGAAATGTCTTTGTATTGGAGAATGTCAAGAGTACATTTCTCATCTGTCACCCTGCTTTTTTGGTAAGTTTCAATAAATAATCTATATATATATAAATAAATGAAATGCTGTTCGTTAGTCTCACTATAACTCGAGAAAGGCTAGACCAATTTGGCTAATTTTTGACTTGAGAGAGAGAGAGAAGAGAGAGAGAGGAGAGAGTCCAGAGAAGGTTTAGAAGGTAGATAAATATGAAAGTGCTCGGAATTAAATAAAAGTAACAATTTTGTATGTGTCCCCCGTCGGATGGATCCTTTTGTTTGTTTTAAGTTTATTTTATACAAAAGTTTAGGTCTTTTATGTATCGATTGAGGCACTACGAAGTCTGCCGGGTCAGCTGGTAATATATAGAAATGTTCTTAAGTAGACACGAATGAGCCTACGAGTGCACGACGTATCTGGGGCTAAGTGACTTTGGGAAGTGTGAAAATATACTGTCCTGTATCGCCATCTCAGTTGAATTGACTCCAGCCGTAATTAGAACACGTGAATGCAATGCAGCTAAAGTAAATAGAAAAGTAGGGACTATTATTCTTTTAATCTCCAAGCATTGTCATAGCTGAGTATCAGAAACAAAACAACAATATTATTGTATAGATTCAGGCGCTAGAACATTCGTAAAAAACACGTATTGACACTGTTAATTACATTCGAACAGCCCGCGTAATAAACCCACACACACACACACACACACGCACAGGCACACACACACACACACACACACACACACACACACACACACACACACACACACACACACACACACACACACACACACACACACACACACAAGTCTACAGTATATTTCGAACGATCATAATACAATTTGTGCAACTTGCAAACAAGCAAAACGAGATTCAACTCATTACGAAGCCAAGCTGAAATGTAGCATAGTCAATAAACAAGTAAAAAAGTCTATAGACAGAATCCATTGTCAAATTTTTTTTTTTCTTATTTTAGGTCTACCCGTGGCTCTATCTAATGCACATTTCCTGTACGCCGATCCAGAAATTTACAGCAAAATAGAAGGAATTCAACCTGACGAAGAGAAACATGGCAGCAATATACTAATTGACCCGGTAAGATATAATGTAGTCAAATACCTAATTAGTTAAGTATTTAGTTTAACATATTATTATATGTACATCAGTTTCAGCCAATCGTAGACATTACAATTTACTTTGAGTGGCTCAGAGTTAAACAGAAGAAAAAAAAATCCATATTTTCTGACGATTCACAAACAATTTTTTTGGATGATTTGTTGTCTCCGTCGTTTTTCTGCAGCTGATCTAAGAATCGTTGTAGTGCCTCGTCTTTTACGATTAGGTTGACAGTCAAACTTGTGTGGTACCACATCACTCCCATCGTTGTAATATAAATATAATTTTCCATGTCATGTTTCAGCTGGAATAAAAAAACAGAAATCATAAGAATTATTTAAATGTTATTTTATAACAATAGCAAAACCACTATGACATAAAAAAAAAAAAAAATTCTAGTCAAATACATAACCTCGAACGTTATAAAATTATAAATACATATATCAAAGGACAATGCCCAAAAGTGGGCCAACTTTATGTCAAAACTATTTGTACTTGAAAAACTATGCCTTATTTTTTCACGTTGTTTAGTTTATGTATCAATATTTCTTTCAACCTGGCATTGTTTTCCAAAAAAATAAATTACTTATTTGATAACATCCCAAAACTATCCATGCCATAGCTTTAAATTCGCCAATAGGCAAAGGGCCATACAGCTCATACAGCCTTATAGCAAACCTATATGCTGTCAAACGAAAGAGTTGTTGTGACTTGAACAACAAATTAAAAAAAATATAGCTAATGCTTATAATTCACAGGCTTCTTAGTTTATTTTTGTTCAATTCAATATTTATATATTGTAATAATAATTATTACTTAAAACCATGAATTATTTAATATTTTTAGATATTAATGATTCCATTAGTAAAAATATCAATGGCCTACCATTACTCTATTCTTATTATATATGATCAGAGAATTTTGGCAGCAACCCGAGTGAATCGTCGCGTCACTTGAATTTTTATTTTAATGTTTTTTTAATAGTTTATTGTGTAATTTGTATTATTTGTATTTGTAATATTGTGTATAAAAGGTCTGCGTAAACTCATGCTCAGTCAATGTGGTATTCGTCGAGTTGACGTCAAAAAGAGATACACCGGCTTTTTATTGACGTAAAAAATATATAACTTCGACAGACTAGGCTGTATAGGCTACGCTCTTTGCCTGCTTATTGGTGAATTTAAAAACAACAACAACAATATCGTTGCCGGCTTCCGGATTTTCATTTCATTTTATTATTATTATGAGGATATAATAATAATAAAATGTACGTAAGGGCTTATTTCTAGCAACATTAACCACAATTAACTTATTTAATACTGTAAATAATTATGAGAGCGATTATTGATTTCGAAGAAAACAATTAACAACTTAATTTTAGCTGCAGAAAAAAACAGATTTCTCTTAAACCTGGGTGAGAATATAAAAATCGTTTTCTGAATATGAAACGATATTTCTTTGTCTATCAAATTAAGTTAAAACCATCATGACAGGACAACTTTTTTTAGGGGCCCAAACGCCCATAGAAAATGGGCATTGTCCTTTAAATCCCACTCATTAGATAAAGATACATGAATTTATTATTTAAGTACTTTACATTATTAATAAAAAAAATGCTATAGTTTTATAAGTAATTATTTGGAGTCTAGTTAAAAAAAATATTCACTGAACTCTATTTGAATATATAATAATTATTTGATTTGTATACTTAGATAAATAATAAATAATAACAATGGTGCTAAGAAAAAATTAAGCCGCAACGATCTTCACAACAAAAAAAATCGATTTTGTTTTGGGATTATCACGGTGCACTGTTAGAAACCATTTATTTCGACGTTTGTCATCTTGGGAAACATTTAAAAACATTTTTCAGGGGTTGTTTTTGTAGTATTCGTGCATAATGGTACAAAAAAAGAGCGATAGCTTTTGAGGTTCGACATTTTCAATATAAATATTTGTAAAAAATTAAATAGATCAAAACACTGTAGCTACTTATTATTTCTATATGAACTGCAATGAGGGAAAACTAACATTATGGCGTCACACGCGCTCGGGTTTGATCGGGAGCTGTCGGCGTGTCTTCGGTACTGGATTCAAAAATTAATTTTTATTTTGAAATACCTAACTTTTGAATTATTGCAAAAATAATAATAAAATAACAGTTTTTTTTATAAAAATTATTCATGATCTTTCCATTTATCACAAAAATACATGTGTGCAATTCACACGTGCTAGAAGTGAAACCTTCAAAACTTTAAATACAATTATCCTAAATGTCATTGTGTAAGTATAATAATAATAATATGTAAAATTTTGTCATTAGTAAATAATTATAAATCATCTTTTATAGTATGAGGTAGCGCTCTCTGTGAATTGATATTTGAACTTCACGTATAATCCTTAATTAAAATTCACTACAAGAGGTGTCATACACAGGTTAATATTAAAATATCTAGATGGCGCTGTATTAAAAAACTAAACTGAGAGCGTCTTATATGTTCTATCTCATTCTCTCGCCGGCTGAATCATAAACATTTATGTGTTGTGTCTCTATGGACTTAATTTCTCGTTTCATCGAGTTTGAAATCACGATTCTAGAGAAGTTTCACTTAAAAAAAAATTCTTAAACCCATTGGCATTTCTATAATAAACTAAGAAAACAACATTTAGAGCATTTAATCTCTTTTTTAAATTTTTAAATTAATGTTTTAAATTCTTCATCTCAGTCGTACACTTCTGGCGTACGACTGAGTGGTCGTGGTTATATAATAATATGTCTTATGCTTGGTTACGGCTTTTGAGAGACTGATGTTTTAAATAGTATTATGTTATGCAAACTGAACTGAATTATTCTGTTCGAACTTATTCTTCACTGAATGACAGACAGGTCAGTGAATCAGTCTAAGAAAAACCTTTTTTTAAAACTAAAGAGTTTTAAAGGTTTTAAATACTAAAGTTTTTTCCCTACATGTTTAAAAAAATACACTTTAGATTCTATACGTATCTTATACCTTTAAACGACAAATTCTTCTATATATATATATATATATTATCTGAATCTCGGAAACGGCTCCAACGATTTTTATAAAATTTAGTGTGCAGGGGATTTCGGGGGCGATAAATCGATCTAGCTACGATTTATTTTCAGAAAAATTTGTTTTATTCGTGTTTTCAATAATCAACTGTATGACTCTTCCCGACATCTATTGGCGAATAATAAAACTATTTTTGCTGCTTTAAAGATACAACAAGATGGCGTTATAAAAAAAAACGAGCATAGCTCGGCCATCATCTAGTATCAGAATGAAATATGTAGCAGGGCAACATAATTAACTCATCTAATTTTATCATAGGCCAAACTCGTTAGTGATTTCATCAAAAACTTGAATTGTATTATTGTACAAGGATTCTCCCACCCTACAAACCGGAACGCAAGATTGCTTCGAATGTTGATTACGCATATTTTTTTTGCACATGATATGTATACACTATGTAAAATCATACATGATCATGTATCAAGTTTGTATTTCTTTAAAAAAATGTTATATCTGCGGGTTTTGAACACCGGAATAGTCGCATAGTCCGATACGAGTAAGCCGGGCGTCTCATCATTTAGACCTTAGTGCCCAGTGACCCAGGTGGACCTCCAGGGGTCCACGGGACACTCGACGTGGGACGTTGGCGTGAAAAAAGGGGGGTTCAGGATGGGTAAGTGGGGCTTTTGATAGTGAAGAACTAAAAAAATGTTGGCTTGATTTCATCTATCCATGTAGGTAGATATTTTAAGCAGAACATTTTGAGAAGCTCACCGACTTTTACTTGACATTTTTTACATATTTCATATTCAGTACAACTTGCGGCATTAACGTTATTAATGTTTAATTTTAATTATATTAATAATTAATTATATAATTTAATTATTATAATTAATATACACACTGTTATCATGTTACAATGTAATATGTAATAATATGGTAATAATTATATAATTAATAGTGTAATAATTACATACTTGATTTAAAAAATATATATAACTATACCTAGTATTTTTCATTTTATCACTCCGAATAGGGAGTTATCTAAATGAAATTTATTAAAATATTTTTGTTCCAGATAATGGGCTTGGCGTTGAAAACCGAATTTTCAGTACAACTAAACGTAGTGGTTGATGATGTGACTTTCAACAGTGACGCTAGAAGATTCTCAAAAATGCTGGTACCAGTGGGGTATTTCAAAATTGTTAGTATCTCTAATTTTATTTAAATACACAAATGAACGATCCTCTGCTCGACGGACCACGTATTGCTGAAGCACAACAATGTGGACGTCGCCAACAGCCCTAAACACGTCATTTCGGATTCTCCCGATCCACTAACGGTGCTTTTAGGTATCTCAAGCACCGGTTACCGATCTCGTCGGGTTCGGCGAGTAAACTAACCCATAGACACAGCCCACTGAGTTGCTCGTCGGATATTCTCATTGGGTCGCGTTTCCGATCTAGAGGTAGATTTTGCGAAGCACTACTCTTGCTAGGGCCAGTGTTTGCAACATCTCCTGGTTTGAACCTCGAGAGCTCATCTACGCGCTAGGGTAACGCTGATATAGCCTCTCAAGGCTATCAGCATAGGTAGGAAAAAAAATAAGCCACCAAAACAAAAACCTAAATAGCAATTTTAGCTGCCAAACAAAATTAAACAAGAATATTAAAGATATATTTACAAAGTAACAATGCAAATATTATGTCATTGACGTAAATAATACGTAAATAATTTGCATCTGCAAACATAATATGTATAACAGCTGAATAATTGGCAGCTGTTGAAATACTGAAAACGGAATCGATTTGTGATTATATTCAGATTTTCAATATTGGAAAAGAAAATTAAAACAAGTTAGATTTTATAACGCGTCGGTATTATCGATACGTGTGTACTTTACGAACTACTACAGCAAATTAATATATTGTTATGCGCTGGGCTTCGGGATAAATAAAAATTCTACCAAAGCACAAATTACAACTCTATATAACTTAAAACACTTTAAAATTTTCAATTCACTTCTTCCGCTTCGCTTCAGGTGATCTGTTCGCTTCGAGTAGTTCCGATAACTAACTGACTCGTGGCATCTCTGCAACGCTTTTATAGTCGAGACGATATCCCTAGATTTATCGAGAAAATTCTGGGCAAGTCGAGTAGCTTCGATGTGTGTTTCCGCTATCTAACAATAGATGGCGTTGTACTTTTGATATTCGTTTCGGCTATTTGGTGATAGATGACATTACTCTTACCGGCATAACAATATTTATGAGTATCACGCTTGCCTTCCACCTGGACGTAAGGTCGAACTTTTACTCTTCAAGCTGGAGTGCATTTTTCAGTAGTAAAAAAAATTAGATATCTCATGCATTCGTATCGAGCCATGCGACTGTACCGGTGTTCGAATCCAGCGGGCATGTATCAATATTCCTAAAGACGTTCCCATTTAACATAATATGTTCACGAATGACTTCCACGATGAAAAAATAATATCTTGTAATAAAAATCAAACACGAAATAATCATGATTTGCGTAATTACCGGTGGTAGGCACCTGGTAGGTAACCTGCACGGATAGGCACCACCGCCCCGCCTGTTTCTACCGTGCAGCAAGCAGTAATGTGTTTCGATTTGAAGAGTGATTGGCAGCTGTTGTATTGTAAAACGGAGACTTTGAACTCATGTCTAAAAAGGGTGGTGGTATTTACATTGTTGTTGTCTATGGGCTCCACTAACCACTCAACACGAGGTGGGCGGTGAGCTCATTAACCAATCTTAGCCCAAGAAAGCATTATTTTACGAATTTGTAACTATAATTGAGACCTTAGAACTTATATCTCAAGGTGAGTGGCGCATTTACGTTGTAGATGTTATGGGCTCCAGTAACCACTTAACACCAGGTGGGCTGTGAGGTCGTCCACTCATCTAAGCAATAAAAAAAAAATAAAAATAAAGAATTTCCCTACAGAAATAGGCAGAATGGCTCCTCCCCTAAGACTCTCAATAAACGCTCTTAATTCAGGCAAATTTATAAATTTTGCAAGTTTTTAGTTTCACTACACGATGCTATTAGTCACACACACACACACACACACACACACGCGCACACACGCGCACACCCGCGCGCACACGCGCACACGCACACAGCTATGTACGTACGAGTATGTCCTAATCGTTTAAATCACTTCATTTTTTTTCTATTTCAGGTGCAGCCACCTCTTAAAAGCAGTCTGATATTTCAACTGAGATTGGTATATGTCTATGGACCATATTTGGTGTTAGCAGTACAAATTATTTTCTTGGTTCTCGGCTTAACAATATTGGCTTATTCTCGTCGGAACATGAATTGCGGATTACTTTATCTCACACAAAAGGAAATTACTTTTCATTTGAGCACAGCGGAGAAAGCTAAAGTCGAACAGCCATTGATTTATTGAAAACATTGACAACAGGAAATTGAGAATTCGTTATTGAATGACACCTCTGGTTGTTTTACAAGTGTGATAAGCAGTAATGCGTTTCGATCTGAAGGGCGGGACAGCCGTTGCACTGTAAAAGCTGAGACTTAGAACTCATATCTCAAGGTGGGTGGTGGCATTCACATTGTAGATGTCTATGGGCTCCGGTAACCGCTTAACGCCAGGTGGGCCGTGAGCTCGTTCATCCATCGAAGCAACAAAAAAAAGGATAATACCGTGACAATCTATGAACGTTTTCAGAGTTATACTGAAGCTGGGGGAATACGATTTATTTCATGAGCCAATATGTAAATCAACATACGAAACGACTGAAATTTTAAAAATAATACGGCGAGTTTGAATCTTCAAAGTGTTGCGATATTTTCTTATTAGTTGAGACGCAGAATACGATCACAGCCCACCTGATCTTGAAGACTAACACGATCTTAAATAGTTGCCGGAGACTTTAGACGTGGTAGGATGAATGCAGCTTCCCACCTTAAGTCATAAGATTGAAGTTTCAATTGTTTTGGGCCAGCGGCTGTCCCGTGCCTTCCTTCAAACCTAAACGCATTATTGGATCACGGCATGGAGATACTCGCCGCGAGGGGTCACTGCATAGAACCAATAATACCATCATTTGTAAATAAATCAAGGAATCTGACCCCGTTTTTTTATTTTATTGCTTAGATAGGTGGACAAGCTCACAGCCCACCTGGTGTTAAGTGGTTACTAGAGCCCATAGACACTTACAACGCAAATGCGCCACCCATCTTGAGATATAAGTTCTAAGGTCTCAGTATAGTTACAACAGCTGCCCCACCCTTTAAGCCGAAATGCATTATTACTGCTTCACGGCAGAAATAGGCGGGGTGGTGGTACCTACCCGTGCGGACTCACATGAGGTCCTATCACCAGTAAATATAGTTATTACGAAAATATAGGATTCATTATATATTATATGCATAAGCAAAGGAAATTAAGTGATATTAGAATTAACGCGCATCTGAAAGCATCGTGCTAATGTCATTGTGTGGTTCACATGAGCTTAGAGGAATAGGAAGAGCTAGGAGAAGTCTGTCCGTCTGACTGTCTGTAAGTCTGCTCTGGATGGATTTTTGAACATAATATGTTAAATAAGAGAAATAAAGTCAAATAATGAAATAAAATAATATACAAATGAAATAAAGTCTCTTTAGCATCAGTAAAACGTCTTCAGCCCAGTGGCTCATTCAGTTGCGATCTTAAATAAATATATATGCCGCACTTCTAGACTAAGTAGACAAAATTAAAAAAATCTGTGACTTAATTTAAATATAGTGATTATTGTTTGTATTATTTATAAGTAAATTAATTAGATTAATTTGTTGTTTTCTTTTATAATACTTCATCAGCTGTTTAACAAATCTAATAAGATGTGATTAATATAGAATTAAGATATATTTGTCTTGGCGTAGAAGACGTGCCCATTTATCTCGCGTGCCGTGGGAGGTGGGATATTTGTACAGGGTGAATAGTAGGTATTCGCCAATATAGCGTTAGTACTTTCATAGCGAAAGGATATTATACGTGATTGAAGAGAGCATCTATGAGTTCAGATTACGACTTCAAAGCAGCTTAATACTACGGCGACCAATCTAAAGCAAAAAGATTAAAACGTCAATATTTTTTGTGGGTTCGAGGACTTGTTTTTTTTTTTTTTTTTTTTTTTTTTTTTTTTTTTTTTTTTTATGATTGAAGGATTACTGGTGGCCCGGAGGCCTTTCCAGTTTCACCAGGACAGGTGGGCGAGCAAAGGCTCAGCCAGGAGGGGTGGGATTTGCTAACAGCTACCCGAGCGCCTCCGAAGGAGACCTAACAGCTCAAGAGCAGCTGCTTCGCGAATGAATCTANACACTCGCCTTGCGGCGAGGCCCCAACTTCTCGGACCTGAGCGGTTCTATTGAACACAGGTGGCGATGCGGCACGATTACTGCAGGACAAAGAAAAATCACAACAAAACGGAAATAACAAAAAGAAACAAAACAATTAAACACTTCCAGGAAGACAGTTTGTCGGCAGATGTATCACGAACACAGAAATAACAAAAGGAAACAAAACAAATAAAAACTTCCAGGAAGAGCACTTAGTCGGCAGATGTACCACGAACACAGGCCGCGCGAACAATGGCCGGGCTAACAAAAGCCGGGCGAACAAAGGCCGGGCGATCGAGTGGTCGATGAGCACGTCCGCGCGTGACGGGTGCCTCTATCGGAATGTCGAGGACTTGTTTACATTGAACCATTGACGTCAATTCTGAAAAAAAACGATATCGGATCCGTAAGAAAATTGCATTCAACAAGCGATAAGAAAATGAAGTATTTCCATTATTAAAGAAATTTTATTATTTTTCGTCTTAATTTTTGTGATTGTTTTTTTTTTTCATTACTTGATTTAGCTGCACGCCACAAGAAACGTCTCGGCTATTTGAGTTTCCAATTAGTATTCCAGTTAATCTATACTAATATTATAAAGAGGAAATATTTGTTTGTTTGTTTGTTTCGAATAGGCTCCGAAAGTACTGGACCGATTTGAAAAATTCTTTTTCCATTAGAAGCCGACATTGTCCCTGATGAACATAGGCTACTTTTTTAAATTTTTTTTTTTTTTTTGGTTTCATGTTTGTTTTAATGTTTCCGAAGCGAAGCGAGGGCGGGTCGCTAGTGTCCAATAAATAGGCTGTGAACAGTAATCTATACTAATATTATAAAGCTGAAAAGTTTGTTTGTGAACGCGCTAATCTCAGAAACTACTGGTCCGATTTGAAAAATTATTTCAGTGTTAGATAGCCCATTTATTGAAGAAGGCAATATGCTATATAACATCACGCTAAGACCAATACGAGCGGAGCACTAATAACCTCCTCTTGTTAAGTCGGTTAAAAAGCGTGATTTTGGTATCTTAAATAGCTCCATATCATTCTATTATTCAAAAATATTTTCAGTTTCTACGTAAATGAAGTGGGGAGTAAAATTTAGCGTTATGCCAAAGTAACTATTCCACGCGGACGAAGTTGCGGGCAAAAGCTACTCCTAAATAAAGTACGTTTTATATTAAACTAGCGACCCGCCCTGGCTTCGCTTCGGAAACATGAAATTTTATTATTGATTATTTACGAAATCACATTAGAAACCTCAAAAATAACAGTATTTATCCACTATTTAATTAATGTTATTATACATACAAACCTTCCTCTTCAATCACTCTATCTATTAAAAAAAAACCGCATCAAAATCCGTTGCGTAGTTTTAAAGCATACCTAGGGATATAGGGACAGAGAAAGCGACTTTGTTTTATACTATGTAGTGATACCGTCCATTTCTAGAAAATAAAACGAGAATATATCTACTCCATTTAAAATTTCGTACGTCCACGTACACACGTATACACATACGTAGGTATGTATATAATTGTGGTGGTAGCCCTCACAGAACACAAGATATTTGACAGATGCCTGAATCGCGCTTACGACATTTTCAAGATAAGCTTGCATACATACAGGTTCCGAACAATAAGATTTGGACCATGCGTCTACCGAGCAATATCACCCGCTCGGTGGAAGATCTACCCTTCGTCGTATTGTCGTGTATCGCTACCAAACCAGGTTTTTTTAATTGATTGCTGGGTTGACGAGATGGTGGGTGGTACCTACCCGGCGGACTCACAAGAGGTCCCACTACTAGTAATTTCGCAAATTAAATTTTGCGGGTTTGATATTTATTACACGGTGGTAGCCCAGCCCAGGCCAAGGACGAGGATATCGACGACTTCTATCATTCACTAGACGCGACACTCGGATCAATACCCAATCGAGAGATAACCTTTATTCTTGGGGACTGGAATGCAAAAGTCGGTGAAACGACAGCGGATGGACACATAAGACGCACTGTAGGAAATTTTGGCTTGGGCAAACGAAATGACCGTGGAGAACGATTTTTAGAATTTTGCGTGGAAAAAGATCTCACGATTCTCAATACCTGCTTTCAACATCATGCGAGGCGACTGTATACATGGAAATCACCAGGTGACAGATTCAGGAACCAGATTGACTACATATTGATCAACTCTCGCTGGAGGTCCACCGTATCAAATGTCAAGACCTATCCTGGGGCGGACTGTGGTTCAGACCATGTGCTCCTGGTTGCAAACTTCCGCCTGCGCCTCAAAGCGCAAAAACGTAGATCCTCGAGACGTCTGCAATTTATAGACCCGGACAAGCAAGATAGCTTCCGCAATGCTCTCGACAAACAGCTTTTAGGTACAACACCACCAGCCAGTGAGTCCGCCGAAGGGCTGTGGCAGCGGCTGAAATCATCTATTGCATCGGCCGTCTCAGAAACAGTGCCTAAACAAGCAAAACAAAAAAGATCTATGTGGATTTCAAACGATACATGGGAATTGATTGAACGCAGAAAGAACTTGCAAGGATCAGATAAAATTGAAAACTACAGTGCACTCAGTAAAGACATAAAACAACGCTGCCGACGTGACAAGAATATTTTCATTGAAAATATTTGTAAAGAAATTGAGTCGCACTCCCTAAAGTTACAATCCTCTGATTTATTTAAGAAAGTTCGTCTGCTGTCGAAGAAATTCAAAGCAAAGACCTGGGTTATCGGCGACGAGGATGGCGACCCCATCACTGACCTTCAGCTGATCACAGAAAGATGGCGTCGTTATTGTGAAAGCCTTTACAAGAACCCCACTAATGACACCACTTGTAGTCCGGATTTTGTTTGGGCTGATATAGTTCAAGAACCATCCATATTGCATTCGGAAATTAAGGCGGCCTTGACAAAACTAAAGGATAATAAAGCGCCAGGACATGATAACATCACAGCAGAGACTCTTAAAGCACTCAGCGACGCAGGAATAGATGTACTGCATAAAATCTGCAATCATATCTGGCAGAATGGTGAGTGGCCGGATGACTGGAGGAGCTCCATAATACTGCCTCTACACAAAAAAGGATCCACGAAAGACTGTAACAACTATCGGACCCTTGCTCTTATCTCACATGCAAGTAAAATCCTGCTGCATATTATCAATTCCAGAATCCGACACTTTCTGGATTGGCAAATCCCTCAGGAACAGGCTGGTTTTGT